GGCCTGGCCGGAAGAGGTGGCCAGGCCACGGCGAGGGCTGCGGCCATCAGCATGTCCCTGCCCAGGCTCCTCAGCACCCAGCGACGCAGTGGCGGGCCGCGCGCCGGCCGGCGGGGGGCAGGGAAGGAGAAATCGAACGTGATGTAGCGATGGTCGCTCAGCGTCTCTCTCGCCGCCACCCTCCAACCGCGCACCCAGCGCCCGGCCACAGGGGATGCCCAGCTTAGATTACAATAGACTCTCCCTGAGCCCGAACGCAGGTGCTGGCGAAGCCCTGGTTCAGAAGTCGGAGCCTCGTACCAGCCGCCCAGAGCAGCACCGCCCTTCCCCTTGCGTCGGTCCTCGGGGACCCCCAGGCTTCGGCCTTGGAGTTGAAATCCCCGAGAACTAACGCCGGCCGGGCGTGGGAACTGAAGACGACGCTCCCCACCCGGTCCAGGAACTCCTCGAACCGCTCCAGGGACCAGCTGGACAGCGCGTACACGCCCACCACCGCGGCATCCCCCAATCTACTGCCACGAAACCCCGCCTCCGTGCCAAGACATCGGTGTGCAGGGGGACGTGCAGGCTCCCCAGGACGATGGCGACGGAGCCCCCCGCATCGTCGAATTAGTTAGGCCGGTCCGGGACACGGTACGGCTCCGCCACCACCGCCAGCTCAATCCGCTACTCGGCCTGGGTTTGCATAAAAATGTCCTGTGCCCCGACCGAGTGGTTGATGTTGGCCTGCAAGAACGGACGCTGCCTCCACAGCTGCTCCCGCGTTGCTGGGGCCCACCACCCCAGTGGACGAATCAGCCGGGTGCTGCTTCGCGCGCGCCGTCGCTGCCGCGGGCTTCTTTCCCCCCCCTTCTTCGAGGAGATCGAAAGGTCCCCATCCTGTGCCCCGCGGGCCGCCCAGAATCAGTGTAGAGGGGGCACCGTGGAGGGGCCGTACAGCCGCTGGCTCGATGGTTCGGATCGCCGCAATTGAAACAGCGATCCCGAGATGAGGACCACCCCACCCTCAGTCTCCCCACACCGACCAACTTGTTGGCCGAGGTCAGGGGGCAACTCATCCAAACCCTTTCTAGACCGCGGGGCGGAGTGCGAATCTCACCCACTTTCACGTCCGCCGCGGTGCAACCGCCGGCGGTTACCACCGCCGCCGCCGCCTCCTCTCGGGCAACGGACTCTTCAAGCCCGATCAGGCGAACCTCGCCCATCTTAACCGGACACGCTACTCTTACCTCCTCCGACCGGTAAAACACGGTCCGGAGGCGGCTAGCCAGGGCCACTGCCTTGGCCACCCTCTCCGTCCCGGCGATCTCCAGGACGAGACCACCCGTGGCCACGCGCCTGGGCCGTAGATCGGTGATGCCGATCTCCGCAAGATCGACCTCCTGCCTGGCCCGAAGCATGGCCTTGCTGCAGGTCTTGGCCCCCGGCGCGACCGTTAGGGTGACCGCCGATGTGTTGGGAGAGCGGGCAAGGCGGGGCTTCTTCGTAGCCTCCTTGGACGCCTTGCCCCCCGCGGTCCTATGCTTTCGTGTGGCCGGGGGATGGGTCGTCCCGGCCGTCGTCCTCTTTGCCGTTGGCTTCTTTGCCGCGGTCCCCATCCTTCTTCTTCGCCACCTCTGCCTTCTTGGCTTTGCGGCCCACCACCTTGACCCACACCTCAGTTTCCTGGCGGTAGTCCTCCCGGATCTTTGCCATCCTGTCGGTGACGAAAGAGCCGGAGTTGGCCGCACCGGACAGGTGCTCCGATCCCCGCCGCCCCGATCCCCTTTTCTGGGGCTGGGCAGCTCCCTCCGGTGTCGCGGGCTCGCTACACTGCTGCCTCTGGTTTTTCTTCTGCTGTCCGGAAGTGGTAGGGGGTGGAGACCCCTGTGGCGCTCGCCAGGGGATGGAGCCGAGCCAGCTTCCCGATGAACTCCCGTGTGAGGTCCACCACCCTCCGTGCGGCGAGGGCAGTGATGCCCTCCATGAGCGCGGCCATCTCCGGCGCCCCTCCCCGACCCGTCCCCCCGCCAAACCGGGGGGCGACGGTGGACGCATCGGGGCGGACCCCTCCGTCTCTTCCGGCGGTGGTCGCATCAGGGTGATCCCCTCCATCTCCTCCGGCGTGTCTACGTCGCGGAGGGTCCTCTTCGTCGTCGCCCCCTCCTCCACCAGCTGGGACGCCGGTCTCGCCGCCTTCCTATTGCCCGAGGTAGCCGGGGCCTCCACCGCCGCGATTCTCCCACGCAGCTCCTTTCTCGCTCGAATCTGACGTATCCTAACCTAACCTATATATAAATGGTAACTTACGATAAGACATCTAAATTCCAACTCTCGGATAAACTATCCGAATTGACCGGATCATTTCAGCAAATAGATCGAGTCCTTTCTTCTGTACTTCTCTTCACCACAGGTACTCACAAAGGTAATAATTTTAAAATGGATTTTACATGGGTTACCCTATAGAAACGGAAGCCGATATCACTATGGTGTGAACGGCTGTTCGACACTTGACGATGACGGTTGCTACAGCGAAGACGGTAGTGTTAGTTGCGTCTGTGTAGGAAAAATTCTATGTATTGTACGAAAGTTTTTAATTAATATCTCGGAAACTAATAGGAAGCCGAAGATACGACTTTATATTTGGGATCCCCTCCCCCTCCCCTTCAAAATTTCATCTTGATCGGCGACCGGTCGTATCCGGGACGACAGCCATATTTTGTCCAGTATTTGAGACGGTCCAATTTTTAATTCATCCAATTTCTTTCTCTTCAGTCTATTTCCGTTTTTGACGCATACCCAGTCTCTTACGTTGAAATCATGTTCTTTCCTGTGTTTGTCGAATCGGTTTTTATTATAGTTATATGATCTTATTGAGTTTTCCAAGACTGTTTTTCTGTCGGTTATTAACTCATTGATTGTTTCCTGTTTCAGTTCTTTTGGTAGAATCCTGATATCTGCACCTTCTAATAGGTATTTCGGAGCGAATCCGGTAACCGAATGTTCAATTTCATTGTACTTTCGTGTCCATTCTTGTGCTATGGTCGTCCATGCTGATTTTTTCCTTTCTTTCTCATTAATCTTACATCTGATCAATGTTTGGTTCAGTCTTTCATTCAGGCCATTGGAGAAGGGTGAATTCACAGCTTTAAAAATCATTGGTATGTCCCTGTCGTGCAAGAACTTTTTAAATTTCTTCGAATTTATTCCTGGGTACTGATCCGTCAGAATCATACCAATTTCGTTGCTATCCGATACGTTTTTAACGAGCTTTATAAAGTCGTTTGCACTTTGCGTCTTTGACGTCAGAATGTATGCGTATCTTATAAAACTGTCGACCAGGAGATACAAGTATTTTTTTGTTGATCTGGATTCTCCAAAACCTCCCACCGTATCTATGGAGACTATGTCAAAAGAATCCGTAGCCGAACCCAAATAAGACATTAGGCCGAAATTTTGTTGACCTCTCGATTTATTTCTTAAGCAGATTTCACAGCTTCTGCAGAATTATTTTATATTCTTCCTCAGATTCTTTGCTGTGTATAGCTGGTTTATTTTATTTTGCATTTGGTTTATGCCTATATAGCAGTAGCGTCCATAAACATCTTTGATAAGCTTCAAGCTGAAGTCCTCTGACAACACAATTTTCTCTTTTTTTTTTACTGTCTTGTAGTACACCCCACGATTCTGATTAATTTATTCTTTTTGTTCTGTACTTCTTCGTTTTCCTCTTGATCATTTATATTTTCTAGGTTTATAAAATTTACAATCTTTAATTTTTCTTCCTCATTCTCATTTGGCTCCAGTACACGATTCCTGTTCAAACAATCCGCTTCCAAGTTGTACTTTCCTGGAGAGTATTTGATTTCGAAGTCATACTGTGATAGGTAGTAAGTCAACTCCCCTAGTTCCTCATCAGTTTTCGCTTTGATGTGATGGAATATTAGGGCAGATGGTGATTGTTTGTAATTAATTAGACGGATTAAACTGAATACCATTTATTTCATTGCTTATTGAACTAAAGAAAGACATATGATAGACTTCCGGAAACGGGAAGTGAGAAAAATACAGGAAGAAAATGTTGCAAACTTACACATCTTTATAGAACAATCGTCATAACCAGATATTCTAACATGATGTTTATTTTTAACCGATTTCGAGAAGGAGGAGGTTACTCAATTCGATCAGTATATATGTTTTTTTTCTTTTCTTTTCTGTGTGTGTTCACCGATTACTCCGAGATAGATAGACCAATCGGAACGAAACCTTTAGCACTTTGTAGAGCATGTCTCCCGATTGATCCCGTAAAAAAAGACCTCTTGCATTTTTTCATTGTTTACCATTTTTTGTTGCAAAAAAGCGTACTATTTCATACATGCATGTTCGGCGTTTTTTTTGCAGGGAATGTACCAATCGCAATGAAACCTTTCGCATCTAGTAGAAGATGTTTTCGCGATAATCCCATTTGCAACAGACTTTTTGCTGCGATTCTCTATTGTTATACTAATGTTGTGCAGTGTGTAGCTATTACTCTGTAAACAATGTACAGATCGCCACTGAAAAGTGTGAAATACAATAATATAAAAAAAAAATACAACCGACTACAAAATGCACTATATGCTATTTAATATTTTAACCAATTTTATCAAGAACTGGTGGGAATATATCCAAATTAAATCAAAATTATTTCATATTTTTTAGCGCATTTCGAAGACCATTGTATTTTTTTCAGAATTTTTAGTGCACCTCCCCCGAAAAGGTTGAAATGTATTTATTATTAACGATTAAGTAGATTTTATTAATAGCTGTAGAATACTGGTATAAATGAAACAGAAATTATTTTACACTTTTTAGTACATTTCGAAGTCGGTTTTTTTTTTGTTGAAAATTATTTTATTGGCAGCACGGCATTGCATGGTACATACATAGCATAATCGTTATAAAGTAGTATTTATCTCATTACATCAAGAAGAGGAGCACATAATCGAGACCCATCAATAAACAAGTAAGTTAAATCCAAAATCAAAGCCAAGTTATGATTACCATTAATTAGTAATTAGTTTTGTGCGTTATAAGTATAGGTATTATTACTGTGAATTCTAGTGTGTTTTCTGTTTCCACAACCTCTAACGGATCTATACAGCTATAGAAGTCCCACAAGGGGAACTACCCAAGTGTAACACTCACTTATTAATGAAACTTTGCCACCTTGCAGAGCACGACGAACTGAACACGCCTCTACCCTATTAAGGGAGCAGACGGCTAATTGTTTAAAAGATATTAACAATTAAAGTTAATTACTCCTTACATTGAGAAGTATGACAAACTTACACATACAAACGGTTAGCTCCGCGGTAAAACGCACTACCCACAATCTAAAGGTCCACGGTTCAAATCCATGGTCCTCAACTTTTATTTTTAAATTATAATTTGTATCTTTTTGAATAACTATTACAGCTGTGCTATAATCATTGCATTTATTAATAATTAATTAGATACGCTGCAATATTTATAGAATTTAAGTGATGCTTTCTATCCAGTACGGACATTTCCATCGTTACTGCATTCGAAATTTACAAGCGTTTATTTGTTACTACACACACAACCTATTATTTTTTACAAGTTCAATTTACTCAAAAAGGGTATATTCATTTATACTACCGTGCCAATTTATAATTCATATTTACAAGTATTTACAAGTAGTTACAGTAATATGTGGTTATTTATAGTTATTCAAAAAGAGACAAATTATAATTGATAAAACAAAAAGCGGTGAACCATGGATTTGAACCTTGGACCTTTAGATTGCGAGTTATACGTTTTACCGGATAGTTAACCGTTAGTATATACAAGCCTGTCATAATTCTCAATTTACGGAGTAACTAACTTTAATTGTTAATATCTTTTAAGCCAGTAGCCATCTACAAGGTCGCAAAGTTTCATTAATAAGTGAGTGTTACACTTGAGTAGTTCCTCTTGCCAATAAGAACAAACTGAAGAATGAATCGCTTATTTCATGAAGCAAATACGGTCAGAGAAATATGTATAACTTTTGACAGGTATAGGTTAGAGTTAATCACATCTTGAAAGTACTTATTAAAATATTACAAGTAGAATCAACCGCATATTGCATGAAATAGAATGCAAGATGGAATAATGTTGCCCAGTAATAAATACATGCAAGTTTATTTGAGTTTATTAGGACTTTATATGCTGTTGACAATACAGCATAGCATGGTACGTACATTCATATGTACTTTTGGCTACTCTTTCTAAAGTAACATGTAACTTTTTATATCAATAAAAAGAGCATGTAATAAAGGCGTTTCAATAATAGAGTATGACAATCAAAATCAAAATGGGGGTATATTTGTCATTATTTGGTCATTAATTTGGTGGATTCCAAATATAGGTGCAGTTGAATATAATCTATCAATATATAATAATATGACTTCTTCTTCTTTTTATATATTTTCAGCATCTGTTCAGACATTGATGGGGAAATTACAACCAAAAAATTATAAAGCAGAACAATTAAATAAATACATTAAAGAAATTAACCAGCATAGAATGAAATACTAGGACGAATATAGAAAATGGATGAAATTACTTTGTCGCAAGATATATCTGGAAATATGTTTAAGGTAAAACCTTACTTTCTTCAATATATCCTTTATTTCAAATTAATGTTGTGGAATACAATATATCAATATAGAATAATATGATTTCATTTTCTTTATTTTCAGCATTTATTCAGACATTGATGAGGAAATTACAACAAAGAATTTAGCGAGTAGAAAAATTTGATACATACAGTGAACAAATTATCCAAAGAAGAGGATTATTAAATTAGATAAGTTTGTCTTCCAAATCATGGACTATAAAAACAATGTAATGCCAGCATATTTTAAGTAAATAAATTAATTGTTGAAAATGAGACTCTTAAATTGTAATTTCATGTTCCAATTTCCTTAGTATAGAGTTTAATTTATGGTTCACATTATCTTTTTCTACTTACAAATAAATACTTTTGTCGTGTAAAAATTCATAAATAAAAAAAAAAGTTGTAATATCGGAGTTGTTACTTTATTATTCACTTTCATCTATTTTGTATCACTTGTGTTTACAAATCACAAATTCATCTCATCCAACTACAACAGTCCAACTGAAATATTCTATTGTTCAGACCAATTAGAAAAAGTATTAAAACATTTAGAAACAATCTTGTTCAATGAAGACTTATGGAGAAAAGATAGAAAATAATATTTAATTACTATGAATTAGTTTTATATCACCATAGGCAAATATAACCTAAAATCTCACAATACACAATTCACTAAATTTCTTGAACAATTGTACCAGATAATATTAATTACATGTAGTCCGACAATATATCGTGTCAATTACATTACTTTTTCTTGGTAATCTGCGGTACTTCACAATTTTTTGGCGAAACACGGAGCACATGATAAAACGTAACGCGTTATGCAGCTGACGCGATAAAACTGTAAAAATCGATAATTCCACTATTTTTCCACGCATTTGCATGATCAACCCCTTTTTTGCCGAAAATCCCGAGTACTTTCCAATTTTTTACGAGAGAAGGTGCTTATCGTGGAAAATAAGTTCTAAATATGACGCAATAAAATTGTAAAAAATCGAAAATCTTCATAATTCTACTATTTCTATGATTGATGTCACAGCCGACTCTAGTACTAGCCAGTGATGCCAGAACCGTGGGACGTGGGACTCCATTTCTGTCATCGCTTACTTGACCGAGGTGGCCCCTGCAGCGAAGACGACTGTGTGCGTGAAAATGTATTAAGAAAATATTCTGCTTTCCGCAGTGCTTAAATGGGACTTTTCTGCTCATTACACACATTTTCACGCACACAGCCGTCTTCGCTGCAGGGGTCAAGTAAGCGATGACAGAAATGGGATGTCGACTTCTACATTCTATTGTGGCGGCACTTCCTTTGGGTAGCGTAGCGAGAGGATCATCCTGTAGAAAAGCGGCGATCCCATACTAATGCGTATGTGTCACCATGGTTGTCACCACACGGATGGGCAGAATTCAATGTGTTAGTTTCGACAGTTTTTCAAAAATATCTCGAATACTACAGTCGAGCGACGGTTATATGTATAGGAAAAAGTTGTTCAAAATGTGGATTTCTACAACATATTTAAAAATCGTCGAAATCGGAGGTACCGTTCGTAATCGAACCGATAACGTAGAAATGACGAGAGCAGCCGAACCGGCCGAACGGAGAGCTCACACGGACAGGTGGGACAACATGCTTGTGTTAGATGAAACAACTGAAGTAGGGGAGTCACTGGGAAGTCGTGGAGAGGCTAAAGATTTGGTCCAAGACGTACAGTTCTGGCATCACTGATAGTCCAGTACATATTCTTGTATCTGTAGTCACTGCACTGAGTCACTAATATATGCAAGAAAGAATGGATAAATTGCTGGGTTTATTACACGAAAAAATACTTGCTGTAGATAAGTATGAAGATGTATTTAATGAATTCAAAACTTTACACGCAGATGAGGAACGTGTAAGGTTTTTTCTTAAGCTTATGCTAGAATATGGTATGATTTCTCAAGTATGTCCAGATAGAAAAAATGCAAAGAAATCTACAGAATTAAAAAAACAAGGAAATGAAAAATATATGTCAAAATCATTAACAAGCTCTCTGTGTATCGATGCACTAAAACTGTATACAAAAAGTATAGCATATGCTCCTTGTACATCTGAACAACTTGCTTTGGCGTATGCGAATAGATCTGCTGTTCTAAAAAAAATACACAAATACAAAGAATGTATTCAAGACATAGATAGAGCCTTAGCCTTACCATATCCAAATAATTCAAGAAGTATATTATATTTAAGAAAAATTGAGTGTTTAAGTATATTAAAATATCCCAACACAGAAGATACTATTAAGGAAGCGCAAAATTGGCTAGACAGGCTGTCCTTGGATGATGTCGGTCATAAAAAAATGAATAATATGTTCATTTCTGCCAAAAAAATATCTGTATCAAATATATCAAAAAAACAAAGTATCGTAAAACAATCACCTTTGCCTGAATTAAAGATATGCAACACTGAAGTTCCTTGTGCCTCCAATGCGATAACTATAAAATATAATGAAAAATATGGCAGACACATTGTAGCTACTCGTGACATAAATATTGGTGAAATAATTGCTATAGAAAAGCCTTATTCGCTAATATTAAGTCATAACAATTTACAGACGCATTGTTCAAATTGCTTGGAAGTATGCTGGGCTAATATACCTTGTAACTATTGTACATATGCTATGTATTGTTCAGAAGAATGTAAAGCTTCGGACTGGAAAAAATATCATGACATAGAATGTAAGGTATTTCCTTACTTTTTTAAAATGAATTTTATGGAACGTCATCAGTTTTGCGTAAGACTTGCTATTCAGGCAGTAAGAGAGAGTAATAATATACAGAACTTAAGAGAAGAACTAAAAGAAGTTGAAAATTGTGATAGTAAGTATCTGGGATAATTTTGTAAAAAGTTATCAGTCATAATTACGTATTATTTTAGATCCCCGTACAAAGGGTTTTTCAAAGAATGGAACATTTGAAAGTGATGCTTACAGAAGTGTATTAAGTTTGGTTACTAACGTTGAAAAACTGTCATTAGAAGATCTCTTTACAAGATCCGCAGAAGCTAGTTTCATATTGTATTACTTAGCAACATGTACTGATATATTTGGCAGTTCACTGAAAGATTTATTTGAATTAATAAAAAACAATGATGCTATCTTTGTTGGGGGGCTCATTCTAAGGCATCTGCAATTGATCCCTCTTAATACTCATTCGGTAATATATACATATAATAAATTTGCGGCAAAGATTATGTTTATTATTTAACAATTAAATTAATATTTATAGTTTACGGAAGAATATAAAATCGCTTCGGAAGACCGTGGTGCAGCACTTATGCCATTTCTTAGTCTGTTTAATCACAGTTGTAACCCAAACATTCTAAGAGTTTCAAGGACTGCGCATATAATTGCTTATGCAATGTATCCTATCAAAAAGGATGAACAGGTACAAAAACGTATTGTGTGAACGATTATTTACGATGAGTTTCATTTTTTTATTGATAAAACAATTTTTACAAGATATTTGATCACTACGGTCCATTATATTCAATGGTACCAAAATTCACGAGGCGCTTGGAACTTCGAATACGCTACTTCTTCACTTGCGATTGTGTAGCTTGTGTGGAGGACTGGCCAGTATTTCATGAATTAATGTTATCTAAGGTGAGTTAATTAATGATTAAGTACGTATCGAAAGACTTTCTTATATTTGCTATTTATTTCCACAATATTTCCCTATTTAACAGGAATCCAGTTTAGGAATAGCCCTTCGCACGTTGCCAAATTATCCTAAATATCGCCGTATGGCGGAAGAAGGAAATGTATTTAACAAAGATATGATAGATGACTTGTTACAAATGTTTCAACGAGTATATAACGCGGTACGAATGCCTCACTGCACAGTAACCGAGATATCAGCAATTCTTAAACGTGTCTATTGCTTAAGTGGAAACAGATTTGATATTCCTGAACTATAATATGCATCAAACGCGCCCACGTAATGTCATGTTAATTTCTTTCTTTATGTTTTTTTTTTAATTTTTGTTTCTGATTCATTAACAGTTAACATTTTTCTTTCATAACTGAATTTGAAGTAGTGACAAAGGTAAAGTATATATAAAAAACTTTTTGTATAAAATCTGTAGATTTAAATACTGAAAATTGATTATTCAACGTATATTCTATTGTTCCTATCTTACAAATAAACAGCTGATTATTAATAACAAAGTATCACATTGCGTTTGCAGAATTTGAATTTAGACAGAAACTTGATTACACGTTTCTCTTTTACAATTATTAATTTGTAAGTTTTAAAACATTTTATCATTAAAATTCTATTATTTGCAAATGTTCTCATACAAATTACCTCCTGATTAATAATCCTACAGACACAAATTCAAGACACTGATTCAAGTAGCCAGTGATAAAGTGGAACGTCATGGCTGATTTGGCGCCATTATCAACCGTTCGACCTAGAGACCTAGAACGAAGTAAAATCGCCTCAGACCTTTATTTAAAACCTAATGCAAATATATAAAGTAACTATAATTCAAATTATGTCGTGTTTCATCTTGTTTTAATCGAAAAATTTCATCAATACGCTAGTGGAAGTTTCATTTAAAAGAAAAATCTGTCATTATAAAGCAACGAAGCGTAACTGCAGATTAAGTACACAAAAAAAACAAGGTTTATACCAAGATTAACATTTTCTATTGTATTATGGTAATCACTATATTATAGTTTTGTTTCCTTGTTGTATTATAGGAAAGTAAAATATGCAATATCGTGTAAGCGTGGACCAGGTACAATAGTTGCAAGAAACCTGATATGTATATAACAAATTAAATGAGGAATCAAATTGTATCTAATCCATCTTTCATTGTAATGACCATTCACAGAATAAAATTATAATAGTTGTAAGGAATAAGAAATAAAACTGACAAACCGTTAAAGATTGAAATTTCTTTATATCCTTACAATTTAACCTAACCAATTTTCCTCGTATGTCTTCGAATTTACGTATTGTAATAGTTAGAATAACAGTAATATCTAATTGAAGAAATTACTTCTGTATCACGTACTTTTATCATATGTACGTACATACATATGTATATATATAAAACTTAAATATTAAAAAAAATATCAAAGAAAGATGCAGTTCAACTCTTTTTTTTAACTGCTTTCCAAGTTAATGTATTTCATAGTATTAATGTATCAAAAATGTATTTTTATGTATTAGAAAAACGTTAATGTATTAAGAATCAGAACTGAAACCGTAAAATCGGGATTCGAACTGATTCTCCTGGTTTCTTAATTCAGCCATATTGCCATGCACAAAATTATATTATTTTGTCGATTCGTCGATGCTGCTGCCACGTGCTTTAGCGGCTTGAGCATCGAGCCGATAACGTAGAAATGACGAGAGCAGCCGAACTCTGCCAAACCCGCAGAGAGCTCACACGGACACGTGGGACAACGCGCTTGTGTTAGATGAAACAACTGCGGTAGGGGAGTCACTGGGACGTCGTGGGACGTCGTGGAGAGGGTAAAGATTTGTCCCACGTCCCACGATTCTGGCATCACTGGTACTAGCCATGCTGAACAACGTGGCAACACCGCTCACGTGACAATCGGGAGTCCTATTTTCAAAAGCAGAATCCTGTGCTCGGAATTGTAATTAACGTCTTTTTTAATTAAAAGCTGTAGTAATATACACTATTTTGTGTTAATTATGTATAAACAATATATAAACGTTGCAACTATGGCAAATAGAAGTGATGTGGTAGTATAAAATTGTTATAAATGTGATATATATTTTGTGTACTCTCAAAGTAGTTTGGTGTTGTGAAGCATGATATTTGAAATATTTACAGTGGTTTCAAGAAAATTTAGGTATGAAGCAAAATGAAACCATCTTTGGATCAAATTGAAACATTTAAGAATTGATAAACGTGTATATAAGTTAATAAAAACCTTGAAACAAGCGAAATTATTGGAACGAAACCAAAGAGGTTATGTGAAGTCCAGAGAGTAGTCGGGAGTCTGACGACGTTGATTGGCTGAGAGTTCGGGAGTCCGGGAGGCAGATAGAGTAGTGTAGGTGTTGATATATTCAGACCGGACTCCCGCGGTGTTGCCATTTTTACTTCAGCACGGCTAGTACTAGAGTCGGCTGTGGTTAAAGCAAAGTGATATTCTGGTCGCCTAACGGCAACTAGACACACATGCTGAGATTCAAAATTATGAAAATTAGTTAAATTTAATTTTTAAGCCCACCCGTAATATATGTATATATATATTGATGTCGGTCGCCCTGCTGCTGCCTGCAAAAACAGTAGAAAATCGGCGTTCCTATACTAATGCGTACGTTGTTTTACAATATAATTTTAAATTTCATCAAAATCGGTGAGGTGTAACCTAATCTCAATAATTACCCTCTTTTTTCCGGAAATCGCAAATACTTTTCAGTTTCTAAACGAGGGAAGGTGATTATCATGAAAAATAAGTTGTTACGTAGACAGAGCAATAAAATTGTAAAAACCGAAAAAATCGACAATTCGACTACAGTAAAAGCTGGATATAGGCAACGAAAGATTGGCTGGATATATGCAACATCGCTATCTCCTCCAGTTGGGGGATCCCCCTAAGCGAACCGAGACGCTCGACAAGGAAGCCGTGTAATACGATCCGAATCCTTATATTGGCGTGACTAGTACTAATTCAACGATAAAACTTTTTTATTTTTAACTTTTTCTTAATGAAACATTTACTAATGCATTTGTGAGATTTTTCTGATTAAAATGATACCAAACACGATATAGTTTGAATTATATTCATTTATTTATTTATTTATTCCGAATATGCTGCTGAACTATTGACTGCAAATTAGGTGCATTATGATGTTAGGAACAGCCCGTGATTTCTATGAAACCAGACAGTTTCATCCTATTGAAAAGTAAAGTAATTTACAAGCTAACAATAATAAGAGAATGATAATAGAATAAATAAACAATAATAATAGAATAAACAACATAGAATTGACACCTCGGCTACATATGTATAAGGCAGGCCATACACCAAAGATGCAGCAAACATGCAACATGCGACATGCAACACATCGCATGTTGTGTACGAATGTAGAATAGGTATCGCGGCTGAATACAAACGATGTGTACGGACGCAGAATCGATACCTCGACTGGATATGTGCAACATTAAATGCCCAGAATCGACACCTTGGCTGGATATATGCAACGTTTAAATGCCCAGAATCGACACCTCGGCTGGATATATGCAACGTTTGAAAACAGAACCAACACTGCGACCGGTTTTCATTTCCAACCCTCCTTTGCTTTTCGCCAACGTTTAACATCAATTTTAGCAAGTAATTATAATTGAAACTATATTGTGTTTGGTACTACTTTAATCACAAAAATCTCACCAATGCGCTAGTAAAAGTTTCATTAAAAAAAAGTCAAAAGTAAAAAAGTTTTTTGATTCAATTAATATTAGTCACACCGATACGTTTCGGCTCTTTCCTTTGATCATCAGACCTCTCTCCTTCCGCTACTGTTTGTCCCTTTCTACGTTCACGCTTGGCTGGTTGTCGCGTGTAACCCGAGATTCGACACCTCGGCTGGATGTATGCAACGTCTGGGTCCCAATGTTTGTTGCATATACATATCCTGCTTTTACTGTATTCCTCCATGCAATTCCATGATCGACCATTTTTTTTACTGGAAATTGCGAATACTTTGCAATTTTTTAACGACAGAAGGTACTTATCATGGGAGATGACCGCGATGGCTAATAAAAACAACTTATTTTCATGATAAGCACCTTCCCTCGTTTAGAAACTGAAAAGTATTTGCAGTCTCCAGAAAAAAGAGACATCAATCATGAAAATACATGGAGAAATAGCGGATTATTAATTTTTTTGACCTTTACTATTCTATTGCGTCATCTTTAGACCAACTTATTTTCCACGATAAGCACCTTCTCTCGTAAAAAATTGGAAAGTACTCGGGATTTTCGGCAAAAAAGGGGTTGATCATGCAAATGCGTGGAAAAATAGTGGAATTATCGATTTTTACAGTTTTATCGCGTCAGCTGCATAACGCGTTACGTTTTATCATGTGCTCCGTGTTTCGCCAAAAAATTGTGAAGTACCGCAGATTACCAAGAAAAAGTAATGTAATTGACACGATATATTGTCGGACTACATGTAATTAATATTATCTGGTACAATTGTTCAAGAAATTTAGTGAATTGTGTATTGTGAGATTTTAGGTTATATTTGCCTATGGTGATATAAAACTAATTCATAGTAATTAAATATTATTTTCTATCTTTTCTCCATAAGTCTTCATTGAACAAGATTGTTTCTAAATGTTTTAATACTTTTTCTAATTGGTCTGAACAATAGAATATTTCAGTTGGACTGTTGTAGTTGGATGAGATGAATTTGTGATTTGTAAACACAAGTGATACAAAATAGATGAAAGTGAATAATAAAGTAACAACTCCGATATTACAACTTTTTTTTTTATTTATGAATTTTTACACGACAAAAGTATTTATTTGTAAGTAGAAAAAGATAATGTGAACCATAAATTAAACTCTATACTAAGGAAATTGGAACATGAAATTACAATTTAAGAGTCTCATTTTCAACAATTAATTTATTTACTTAAAATATGCTGGTATTACATTGTTTTTATAGTCCATGATTTGGAAGACAAACTTATCTAATTTAATAATCCTCTTCTTTGGATAATTTGTTCACTGTATGTATCAAATTTTTCTACTCGCTAAATTCTTTGTTGTAATTTCCTCATCAATGTCTGAATAAATGCTGAAAATAAAGAAAATGAAATCATATTATTCTATATTGATATATTGTATTCCACAACATTAATTTGAAATAAAGGATATATTGAAGAAAGTAAGGTTTTACCTTAAACATATTTCCAGATATATCTTGCGACAAAGTAATTTCATCCATTTTCTATATTCGTCCTAGTATTTCATTCTATGCTGGTTAATTTCTTTAATGTATTTATTCAATTGTTCTGCTTTATAATTTTTTGGTTGTAATTTCCCCATCAATGTCTGAACAGATGCTGAAAATATATAAAAAGAAGAAGAAGTCATATTATTATATATTGATAGATTATATTCAACTGCACCTATATTTGGAATCCACCAAATTAATGACCAAATAATGACAAATATACCCCTATTTTGATTTTGATTGTCATACTCTATTATTGAAACGCCTTTATTACATGCTCTTTTTATTGATATAAAAAGTTACATGTTACTTTAGAAAGAGTAGCCAAAAGTACATATGAATGTACGTACCATGCTATGCTGTATTGTCAACAGCATATAAAGTCCTAATAAACTCAAATAAACTTGCATGTATTTATTACTGGGCAACATTATTCCATCTTGCATTCTATTTCATGCAATATGTGGTTGATTCTACTTGTAATATTTTAATAAGTACTTTCAAGATGTGATTAACTCTAACCTATACCTGTCAAAAGTTATACATATTTCTCTGACCGTATTTGCTTCATGAAATAAGCGATTCATTCTTCAGTTTGTTCTTACTGGCAAGAGGAACTACTCAAGTGTAATGGTCTTCGACCTTGTAGAGCTCGTCGAGCTGAACACGCCTATACCTATTTTGGGGGCAGACGGCTAATTGTTTAAAAGATATTAACAATTAAAGTTAGTTACTCCGTACATTGAGAAGTATGACAGGCTCGTATATACAAACGGTTAGCTTCCCGGTAAAACGTATGACTCGCAATCTACAGGTCAAAGGTTCAAATCCATAGCAAAGAGGTGGTATAACAAGAATCGACACTCCCGGCGGGCACCTTTGATGTCGACGATTCGCTGTCCCTTTAAATGCGTTGTATCAACGAGCGGGAAGTTTGAATTAATTGAATGTAATGCTTTCTTTTCATGACAATCTTTAATAACTAGAAAACTTCTTGCGTCGTCAATTTTTCTGTATATTATTAATCGAAGTATTTACATTAATTTTACATAATTGAAAAGTGGGAAAGTAAGAAATATAATAAAATGATAGTATTAGAAAATATATTTGAACATAAATTACACAATTATACAATAGCATGAGGGAAGGTTTCGGATAATATATTTCAAGACATTACAATATGTATTTACAAATTTAATACAATATGCAGTTTCCTATCTTTTCTAATGCAAGTTTTAAAATCCCTATTGCTGTATTTAAGTGTATAATAAATTCTTAATCTAATAAATAACTTTAATAAATATTCTAGAGGAAAATTGTCGCAAGGGTGAATAAAACCAGTTACATTTCTACATAAATGATATATATTTTTACCTACATGGGTGCGAGGTAAAATAGAATGTGCGTTTGAAAAGAAGATGTTTTCTAAAGTAAATAAATAATTGTAAAAGGATTCGTCTGGATTTCTTAGTGCACCATAAAAATTATGTTCTGTATTATATGCTTTAAAATGTGTAAATAAATTGCTTTCATCTAATTCGTTACTATTGGCAAAGGTGGTGCATATTGGACAACTGTGAATTGTCAAGCATTTGTTCAATAAGTAGCCGGCATCGTATTTAAAGGCATTCTGCTCAAGCAATGTTTGCTGCTGGTAGTCACAATACTCCACACGGAACGACTCACGACCAGCTGGAGTAATTGATAATGCAAGTGTCTGTTCCGATAAGTTTGTGGAGTTACTTAGTATACTGTCAAAATCATTGTTACAATTCATAAAATTTGAATGAAAATAATCAGCTAAAAATAGTTTTTTAAATGCCCTTCCAAATTGAATTGCTGTGGGATTTACGGCATTCCCATTTTGCTGTCTAATACTACCAAAAAAATTTTCTAAACAATCCTGATTTAATCGTCTGGTTAACATAAAATTAAAATTTGCGTTCTGCAACCGCGCCCAAATATTAATCAAAGATTTTATTGTGATTTTCCAGCCTTTAATGCATTTTATATATGATATGTTTCTATTGTTTTCACTGTTAAGGTGATGCGAGCGTCGAGGCTGAACTTCGAATTCCGCGTCGGTATAACAGTCAACGTTGCATCGAAATTAGACCGAACAGAAACTGATTTCAGCGCCACCTCAGTTATTGCATCCAACTAACGGCATGCTATTCTACATCACTTTTCGCATACATCTAAATGACACACGGATGCTACGATAGCTATATTATGTATGCCACCGCCAAAGTATAAAATACGATACTGCATACATCACCTAGGAAATGTATGAATGACATAACACCTTCACCCAAATATTATATATACATTTTTTGTAATATAACATAACCAAGGGAAGAATATTCCTACAAATCGAATTAAGTTCTACAAAATTTGATCCCATATCTGTTACCAGGCTAATCACTTGTAACCCAATTTCATTTAATTTCTGAATAAAATTGTCTAAATGTTTTTTTAAATTCTGTGCATTTATATAAGATGAGGTAAATATGTACCCTAACGGTTGCTTCCAACTTTCTTTCATGTCTCTAGCCATTATGACGGTAACATAATTTGCCGAACTACTATTTCGCAAAATGCAGTCGTCTTCAAACCCGATAACTAAATCATAACCGTAATCGTAATATACGTTACACTTTAATTATCGGAATCATGCATGTTCTCTACTTTTAATTTTAAAATAGCAAATAAATTACTATTAAAGCCTACAGTAAATTGCACTTTTTCTAAATATCTCTGTAACACCCTCGTCGACGGAAGGGCAAATGTGGCCTGTAACTGCCGATAACATTTTGTCCCAACAAAATACAATGATATCATGAACTTTTTAAAATCTTCCGTATAACGTCTACCGTGAACATTTCTATTATTTTGAATGACTGGCATATTAACGAAATTAATTATTTTTGGGGATAAAAATTTTTTATATAAACCCTGAAATGTACTTAAACTAGACTGATTATTTCTAAGTTCTAACACTTCCGCATTTAACTCTAAATTCTCGCGTTCTAAATTAGAAATTTTATTCTCAAGCTTATGCTTTCTCGGAGTACCTGCATATATCGATGCTGACGTCTGAACACTTACATCAAAGCCAAATGATGTAATGTCTCCCTGATGAGATGGGCCTGCAATTGTTAAAGAACAAGCATATAAGATAAAAAATATTTATTCTCATTTATCTAAATTATTTATTCTTATGTATTTATATATTAAACACTTATTATGTACTTAAATGTATTTTTACCTGCTATGTCTACAACACGAATTTTTGCTGGAGGCTCAAATTCAGGATTATTACTGCTCTCTTCTTGAATATTTGTATCTGATATAAAAATAGGAGATCAATTCATACCAGATTCAATCTGCTTTGGAATTGCTGTTGGTAATGTAACGGGGCGGTCTGGTCGGTTCCTCGTGCCAGGGTTCACAAGGTGGTCGGGTTCGAGAAATAACGAGGCAGGTGTATAGCAAAATATATAGATGTTTATGCAAAAAAATATATTATATTATATATAAAGGTGGGGGCCGCCGGGCTGGTCTGGCGGCCATCTCCTGCCTCGGGTGCTACAACACAATATAGTCTGGAGATTAGACGACGCGTGGAGCCATTTCGCACTTAGCTTAATTTACAGGACTTACTTACTACGGTCGGAACCCGGTCCATCACAGAAATTTCCGCGGGACTTAGAATCTAACCTGTTAGCGTCAGCACGCGTGCAAGGGTTGACACGTGGCAGGTTCAATGCATTTGGGACTTTGACCTGCTGTTCAAAGATCTCTCAGGATTTACGTACGTGCAGGTGACTCCCGTTCGCACTAATCGGCTAGGGGAGGCCCGGGCAGTGTGGGACTCATACCTGTCTGTCATCGGACTTGGGCCGGTGGTAGTTGATACTCGAGGCGCGACGAATTCTAAGAGTTGCGGATGTTTGTCTATGGATCGGCGATAGGGAGTTTGATCACCGATCTTCAGGGGAACGCGCGTGTAGCCGATGACTCGAAGTCATGGTGCCGCATGGCACGTGTAAAGAGATAAAGATGTTCTAGAAGGATCTGGCCACAGAGTGGGGAAGATCTTGCATCTTCTGGTAGGAGGACCATGAGGAACGGCATGGCACTTACCCCAGAACCTCCCTGGAATGCGCGTCTTGAATTCTTTCAATTTGACTTTTATTAACAAACCGGTCTTACAAACTAACGCGGTTCTTATTTCTCGCTACCGCCTTACAAATTAACGAGCGCGGAGTGAGAGCGCGAACGCGAGCGACTAGCGAAAGCGCCGAGACACTACCATGTGTCGTGATACCGAATGCAAAAGTCGGAAGACCAGGAAGGATTGACCAGATTGGGCTGACGGTGTTTTATTAAAACGCGTTTTATTAAGTTGTTGCCCGCTTGCCTTGTGCGGCTGCCTCCTCGTACACGGAGGTAGAACCGAGCAGCGGACGAAGCGACGACCAATCCTGGCCAGCCTGGATGACGCCACGAAGCTGGATGGGATTGGTTGCCAAAGGCCGGATGCGGTGCCGTGTAAGATAACGTTCGAAATCCCGTGGTAGCACCGGCAGAGATTATGAACACGCACTAGCTTGGTTATCCTGGGTCGAGACCGCGGAAATGACGAAGCTAGGCGCCTACGGCTGCTGGACCTATAGGGAGCTGCCAGGTCGTGACGTAGTACAATGCCACGGCCCGACGGCCGGAGATCTCTCCGCCAGGTCAACCATGACGTCGAGCTACCGGTGCTCCGGTCCGGACCTCCCAGGAGGTCTTCTCGGGGCTGAAGCCCCGAGGCAACTCATCAATTATCGCATCGATCGGTCCTACTTATAGTCTAGCCGCGCGGGAGTGGAGATGCCGCCACGGTGGGGGCCTGTGATGCACGACGCCGATCCGCGGCTGTCGTTGCAGTAATAACCTGGATTTGGAAGGACCCATGTACATTTTATTTTCGAAATGCTTACTACATACTCTGGGGATCTTGTGGTAGTGTTCATATTCCGAAGCAGAAAGATCTTCTCTACCACATGCCTGAAGCCAGAGCTTGCATCTAAAGAACAATGATATAAATATATATACTTGAAGCATGTTATTGTTCCAAGATTTATGTTTCTATAGTACCTAAGTTCTTATATTGTTATACACATATTATGACTTTATAATACTTACAAGTCTCCATTCTTAGGAAATCTAAAAAAATGTACTCCTTCCCCTCCTTGATTGAATCTTGCTGTACAATTTTTGTAAGAGCATGAAACTCCACCTCGTTTTGGAACACTCATGTTACTATTTAGAAAATGCTGCAAACAAAAAACAGAAACCAGAAACCAGAAAGTAGAAAATAGAAAGCACAAAACACAAAGCAGAAACACAAAGCAGAAAGTAAATAAAATAATTTTTAACAAAAAATACAACCGACTTCGAAATGCACTAAAAAGTATGAAATAATTTCTACTTCATTTATACAAATACCCAACAGCTATTACTAAAACCTATTTACTCGTTAAATCGTATACTAAATACATTTCAACCTTTTCGGAGGCGGCGCAAAATTAAAAACTTTCTTCTACTAGGAAGATCCTAGTTCAGGCGTCAGCAACCTATCAAATCGTTATTGGCATCATCGTATATTCGGGTATTATTAATTTTGCGCCGCCTCCGAAAAGGTTGAAATGTATTTAGTATACGATTTAACGAGTAAATAGGTTTTAGTAATAGGTGTTGGGTATTTGTATAAATGAAGTAGAAATTATTTCATACTTTTTAGTGCATTTCGAAGTCGGTTGTATTTTTTGTTAAAAATTATTTTATTTCACACTTTTTAGTGGAACGAGCAGTATTTGTAGGATGCCGTAAGGTGGTTTACCGTTCTTATTGGTTAATTATAACGATAGTTTTCAACGATAGTTTTCAACGCTAACAAGTTCCATACATTTTTGCAAGTGGGATCATCGCGGAAATATCTCTTATTAAATGCGAAAGGTTTCATCGCGATCGGTACATGCCTTGCAGAGTATACATATGTATATAGAAACAGTAGAGAATCGGCGACTGCATGCTGACTCATACACCGGTAGAGACACGTAGGCATACGTAGAATTCAATGTAGTAGTAACAATAGTTTTTCACGAATATCTCGGAAACTAAAGCTTCCCGTTAATTAAGCATCAGAAAAAAGTTGTTCAGAATCATGCCCCCGACAACATATTAAAAGATCATTGAAATCGTCCAACCTTGAGATTAAAAACTTCATGTATTTTGCAATAACAATGAAAAAATTAAAAATTTTTTTCTAATGGGACCAATCGGAAGACATACCCTACAAGATGCAAAAGGTTTCGTTTCAATTGGTCCATCTATCTCGGAGTAATCGGTGAACACAAAAAAAAAAAAAAAAAAAATACTGATCGAATTAAGTAACCTCCTCCTTTTCGAAGTCGGTTAAAAAACAGAAAATACAAAGCAGAAAATAGAAAACGGAACAAAATCGCAGAACAAGGAACGATAACTAATAAATATACAAACCACACGGTTGTACGTTTCCAACAGAAATGACCAAGCCACAGTGCACTCCGTACCTACCTGGTACCTGCCAGGTAAGTACGGAAATTCCCGGTTTATGACGGTCTAAAATGCCATAAACTCTTGCTTTTTGGAGCATGTACGTAAATTCATAATGCAAACTTGTCGCGCGTTCACGACTGTTCACGGTCGAAAACGAAGATTACCGAATGGACCTTTAAATGGGTTGTATGTATCACTTTGTCTCTCTCTACAAGTAGTTTCTCTCTCAGAGTGTCGCCTCTTATTATACTTACTCTTTGGCAAAGGATTGGAAAAGTGAGGATGACTGGCGGCCCGTACTCCATACTTATTAGTCAAAGGATTACATACTATTCTTTCATAAAAGACACTATAGTTTTCATAACTAATTTTCTAACCTATAAATATAATTATTCTATGTTGCGTGTGGACTTAGTGATTTAGGGAATTTTGGGATTTCAGAACGTGGGTAAGGGTACCCGTGGGGCGCCTTAGCGCCCTGCTCGCAAGGCGCGAAAATGAATTCAATAAACTGTTGTTCACTGCTTCAAAGTTCGACTATTTATTAAACAATCGTGGAAAAATTATAAAGTTCAAAGATGCGCTTTTTGAACGTGAGAACGACCCGTTGATTTCAGATGACATAATCATTCTGTTCATTCTGCGCTTGGCGGAGGAGATCTTCGCGTGATGCCGGTCAATATCCCTTCCTTAGTGGATCCTGGATACTCCCTCAGGATCATCCCTCGTCCAATGGTGGAGGAGTCCACCCCGTCCTGTGTAGGCCCCTTCTCCTGGCTGTGGTCCGCCCTTAGGCACGTGGAAGTGGAGGCGCTCCGCCAAGACGCTATATCGTTGCAGCGCACATGTGTTACGAGAAAGCGTGGAATCCAGAGAAAATAGGAAACGACAAGACCTAATACATACTTGGCAAAAGGCAACTCTTGAGGAAATTTACGACCTTCTTAGAGTGCATGAATAGACAGGATATCGAAAAAGACTTCATAGCTTTTAAGGACCCTTCGTGACTTGGTCGAAAACAACGAATTTGATATGGTCTATCATAAATTAGTCTTTCAGGAATTCAGGAAATCAAACTATTCCATTCTCTGGAATGGAATACGCATTAGTATGGGATCGCCCTTTTTTCTACTGTTTTTGCAGGCAACAGCACGGCGACTGATGACCAATATATACCTTGTGTACTTCTGCATTCATGATTTCAATGTATCGTAGCTATGATGGCAGCTCGGAATTTAATATAGCCTAACCTAACCCAATCTACTCTACCTAATCAGTGAATTAAGTTAGGTTAGGGTAAAGTGATATTCTGGCCGCCGTTAGGCGACTAGACACACATACTGAGATTCAAAATTATGAAAATTAGTTAAATTTAATTTTTAAGTCCACCCGTAATATATGTATATATATATTGATGTCGGTCATCGTGCTGCTGCCTGCAAAAACAGTAGAAAAGCGGCAATCCCATACTAATGCGTACGTTGTCACGGACACACACGGATGGCCAGAATTCAATGTGTTAGTTTCTACAGTTTTTCGAAAATATCTCGAAAACTAAGGCCGAGCGACGATTATATGTATAGGAAAAAGTTGTTCAAAATGTTGAGTTTCACAACATATTTAAATTTCATCAAAATCGGTGAGGTGTAACCTAATCTCAATAATTACCAATTTTTATAATATTTATTACACAAAAACTACATAAATCTTAAATTATTTAATTACATAAACAAACATGTATAAAACATACATTCATATGTACGTGCATATAAACATGTCAATAATGTTTTTATTACAAATTTTATTCAGCTGCTCTTGTTTGAGTTTCTTCTTCCTGATTCTCAATTCTCCAATTTTCTGAATGTCTATTAAATAAATCCTGATTAATAGGTCCAATCAATGCACGTCCTACTCTAATGTTTTTTTGATTAGGCTGTAAATATTTTTCAGCAACATACATCAGTTGCTCTTTAGTTACACCTTTTAATCGTTGTCTTTGTTCTTGAATGTCATTATCTGTTATGTTATACTTAAATTTAATCATTCCACGATTACTTGGAGAAACTGGTGCATCCACACGTTGGAATATTCCTAATTTTGCTTCATTGATATCACTTTGATTTAATGATTGTTTTGACAAAAAGTCATAAGTTTTATCAAACAGATCTAAAGTCCGAGTGGAATTAGGATCTCTGTAAGAATAAAATGCAAAGATTCCATCTGACGATAGCATAGCACCACCACCATATGCTCCACCTTTCTCTCGAATTTCTGGATGTAAATAAAGCGATGTAATCAATTTAGCAAGTACTTGTAGAGGTGCAAAATCTGGATGGGCATACGGTACAGTGAAAATTGTTTTAGCTGTATAATTTACTGTATATGGTAGTACATAGTGAATAGCATTATCACCTATTTCGATATTTTCATTACATGCGGAAGAATATATATGTTTAGGTACACCCTTTAATGAACTATAAAATTCATTAACACTTTCTAATATCTTGTCTTTACTATTTTCACATAAATTTATTGCTGACCTCAAGTATTGTTTATTTAAGACATAATTAGATATCTTTTGCATTTCATTTAATACAGGACTTAAGTCTTGTATTTGTGCTATTCTTTTCATATTCAAGACATATTCCATTCCTGACAAATTTTCTTTGAATTTCATAACTGGAGAAACCAAACTGGCTGCACTACTCATTGCATATGTGTGTCCTAAATCTGCAATTCCATTAATCAGATCTGCAGCATTGATTTTAACAAGCGTCTTAAATCTTTCAATTTCAGACAGTTTGACATTATTAAACAATTCTAACCATAATTTCCACATATCGTTTATATTATGATCTAAACAATAAGATTCTATTAGTACCCCTTCTTCGTATTGCAATAAATTATTCTTATGTTCTACAATGTGATTCATAAAATTTAAGCCTCCAGTTTTTAGTCGTATTAACTGATCAAAGTTTCTGTAATCATAATTTTTTGTACCCATTTTTGAAATAATATTGTTGAAAAGTGGTAATAAACTTTTTAATTCAGGTTCCAAGTTTTGTGTATTAAGTATTCCTCGGTAATAACATACACCATTTGTTGGCTCAGTAGCTACTTGTAAAGGAACATCAACTACTTTTGTATCCATTAATTTGTAACGTTCTACATCGACTTTTATATCTTCTATTTTCAAAGTAGGAAGAACATTTACATCTACTTGTTTTTGTTGTTCTTGAAGTAAAATTTGTCCATCGATATAAATTTGTTCTAATTCTTCCATAGAAAGTTCTTTTAATTTCGACTCTAACAATTTACGTTCTGCAACTGCTTTATCATGATCGTATTGTTCATATGGCAACATTGTCAATGTTAATTTATGAGTATTATCCATTAAATATGTCTTCACTAATTCTTGAAGATATTTGGGATTATTATTCATTTTTTCTTTAAATTTTCTAATTGCTTCATTGATTCTTATTGATTTTATGAGATCTCCATTATGATTCCATAATGGTGTTAAATTAAAAAGTAATTGTAATCCAAAACTAGAAGTTTGATGTTTTGTTTGAAGTTCAATACTATGTAAAATAGATTCAACGTGATCCTTACTAAATTCCTCCTTAATAACTTTCTGTACAGTTTCGTTAAATATATTTTCTACCTTCTCAAAATCATCTGCTTTGACACCAAGTAAACTTACAATAAATATTGTATCTTTACACTGAGAATCGAAGCCTGTCATCGGACCAAAAGCAATTCCTATATTTGACTCTACTAAGGATTTATAAAACGATGAATTTGGACCTTTCAAAAGAAGTTGAGATAAAATATGCATTTCAAAATTTTTCTGTATGTCTGTTATGTCATTACATAAGAAACCAATAGCTATGCTGCCTTGTCGATTAGGATCTGCAATCATGGGATCTGGTTTACACACAACGTGTTCTTTTCTTGGTTTATCCCAACGTTTTTCTGAAGGAACCTCTGATGCAGAAGTGTCAATCTTATCTACTAGAAACAAGTATTGCTCATTAACAAATTTCAAATGATCGTCTAAGGGAAAGTTACCATATGAGTAGAATCGTGAATTAGAAGGATGATAATGAGTTTGATGAAAATTTAACAGATCAGTGTATCTTAAAGTAGGAATAACAAGAGGATCTCCTCCAGAAATTACAGAATAGGTATGACTAGGTAGAATTTTATTCAATAATTGTTCGGCAAATATCGTTTGATTTTCATTGAAAACACCTTTCATTTCGTTGAAAACTACTCCTTTAAAAATGATAGGTGAATTTTTATCATGAACATCTTCATGTTCTAATCTCCAGCCTTCTTGTTTAAAATCAAGTTCTTTCAAAAGCGGTTTAAATACTGAATCTAAGTATACAGATTGTAGATTTCTATAATCTTTTGAGTTTTGTGTAGAAAATGGATATACAGTGTAATCAGGTCCTGTCATAGCATTCATAAAAGTAGCTAATGATCTTCTTAGCATTTTGAAGAATGGATCTCTACATGGATACCTTTTACTACCACAAAGGGTAATATGTTCCAAAATGTGAGGTACTCCTGTAGAATCTTTTGGAGGTGTACGAAATGCAATTGAAAATACATTGTTGCTATCGTCTCTTGCTAAATGTAAATATTGTGCCCCAGTACCCAAATGAGTCAATTCTATTGCATTTAGATGCACTTCATCCACCATTGCAATTTTATCCACGATAAAACCATGAATAACTTGTCCTTCTTGAAATTTATTAACTTCATTTTCAATTAAACCTGCTTTATATTTTATAGTACTAGATGTAATATTTCTTTTCAAACAAAAGTTGTAATATTTTGAATACTTTTGTAATCCAAATTGATTTAAATAAGAACTTGGAGGTATGCTTAACATCCTTAGCATAGTTATTTATGGTCTATAAGAGGTTAAACACGAATAACATCAGTGTATTTCATTACGAAAAATATATAAAAAAGAAAATTTTCTTATTAACAGCATAATACTTACCAAAGTTAAATGTAAATTAGTTTATATTATACGTTTACGAAATAAGTATTTGATAATTATTTCTTTTCAAACTTAAAGACCGCGTGACATGACTTCTTCTTGGTATAAAGATTTATTTGACATTACTCGACATCAGACTGTCAAAACGAATGGTAAACGTATTAGTGATAACATGTAAAAATTTATAAAAAATGATGTTAAAAACTAATAATAAATTATTACTTCCAAGAGGTATATACAATTGTATGTATGCATACAACATGAAATGTTAAATACGGTGTTAAATAGTACATCACTAATCAAAATGAATTAAACCATTTGAATTTAGAGAATAAAACAAGCAATTCTCAGTTTTACTAATTTTGCAATCATCCCAGAAACATCTTTAATATTTTAATACTGTATAATTAATTCAAAATTTGCTCAAGAGTAATTAAATATGATTTGGTACAAAATAAAGCAGTACTACATGTATGTATGTATGTACAAGGTGTCCCAGTATTGATGGTACAACCATGATGAGGGTGATTCCACATGAAAAAATGAGTCGAAAATATGGAATAAATTTTTTACTTGGAGGCCTTGTTTTCGAGAAAATCAGTATCGTTTAATATAGCATAATTCGGAAAGTACAGTTGTATATGCAGTACGGTGGCCAACATTTTCAACAATTTCTACATTTATAAAGTAAATCTTCAAAATTATATGATTTATTATTACCAATAAACCTATGAAATATGATTTGCATAGAAATTCGATCAATCACGATGTAGTTAGATACTCGAAGAAGATTCACAGTTGATTTTTTCAAAAACAAAGCTTCAAATGAGAAAATTGTATTTCATATTTTCGACTAATTTTCTCATGTATACATAATCCCCTTCACATTTGTACCATCAATACTGGGACATCCTGTATTTACATATATATATAAAACAATATTATTCTTGTTTATATATTGTAAAACTTTATATGTGCTTTTTTAATATGAAATAATTTTTTTATGTTCGCGATTATATAATAAAGAAAATACATATTTTGTATAAATAAAAAAAAAATATATATATATATATATATTATACATATACAGACCGTTTGTAGCTATTCAAACTGTTAATATTAACCAATCACATTATTGAATATATTTAACGAATATACATACATACATACATACAAATATATATGTATTTAAACCAATAATTATATATGTATATGATATATGCATATGTACATATAATGAAAATGCCCAATAAGAAATACGACATATTTAAAAATAATTCATAAAATTCTTATAATCATTAAATAATGCTATTATTATTTAACTGAATTTTCAATAACTTTCAAAAGTTGTATAAAAATATACCAAATATAATTATACAGTTTAAGGATTAAAAATTGAGAACAAAGTTTATCAATGATAGTTGTTTTATTGTTAAATGAAATTGTGAATTCAGTGAGAACGCGACCTGATATGAAAGAAACTGAAGCGATATACTCTTAATATAAAACACAATCTATGGTAATTGAAGAACGCGCAAAGTGCTGAAGTTTTCGTTGCGTGGTAGACCGTCCACTAATCCTCGATTTGAAATTCATGATGGGCTGCGCATAAGTTCGTTCCGTTGAAATTGTTTATGCCACTAATCACGGGCAAAATGCTGTGTATAAGAGCGGTATGACAAATATCCGGTTATTTTCATACTGTATGCACTTCGGCGACTTGTCAGTCCGCGCGAGTGGAGGGTCTCAAATGGCGCTTATGTGCAATCACTGGGAGTGCAATGCTAACAAATAGTCCAGCTGTCTTTGACAAAATGGTAGGGTGCTCGCGTCCAGCGGGTGGTGATAAATTTTTACACACATAATTATAAAAGCGTCTCCGGTGACGGGGTACAATGAATACTGATAACCATGATCGAACGAAGCCCTGCGTTAGCAAGTCACCCGCGAGAATCGAGCTTAATGTCGACGAAAGCGCGTTCGACGGTAAACGAATCAAGAAGGAACGAACTGACGTTTCTCCTGAGAATGGTGAAGGTAGTAATAATGCCGGTATTAATGACAATAACAAACAGTTACAGTCAAATCAGCGGCTGGCTACCGGCAAATTTTCAAACGGCTTCCACGACGACGACCTACTTCAAGATATTATCGCGGCCAAGTTCACGGCCTTAACAAATCATGGAACAACCAAGTGCGACAAAATTCGGCTCCTAATCGAGGATAGCATCAGGTTAATGTAATATCTTTTTCTCTCTCTCGCTCTCTCAAACGCGCGCGCTATCACTATCTCCCCTGCACACACCTGTCCCCGTTTGAAAAAAGAGAAACTAATACTTCATTACAAAGAAATAAATTTCTTTTCAAAGAATTTATACTAGTATGATGTATATTACAAAATTGTTGTCTTATTTATTAAAGAAGTAACATTATATCAAGATAAAACTTTCATGATATTATTTTATAAATGATTAATATCTTGAAATGAAATGAACATTTAACTTCGCGGAGTATTAAATATCGTGGAAAATGAGAAGAGAAGGAAAAAATACAAAATAGTACATATTGTATGCTTTAAAAGTATTAATTTATTAAATGAAAATATATTTGAAGAATAAAAAAATTTGTTCATATAGAATCAACAATTAAAATATTTTTCTTGTTTTTCACTTTTTTCAAACAGTTTTCAACAGTAATGAATATTAAGAAAAAAAGTCAAACATTTGATACTTCATAGTTTGCAGGTTAATTTTTGTGAAGATATGTAAAAAGTATATTAAATACAAGAAGTGTTATATTAGTTTATTAAAACATAAACTAAAAGCAGATACAAATACTAAAATCCTTTTTGCATTAAAAAAAAGAATACTTTGATATTCATACATTTTATAATAGCAAAAATTAAATTGAAACAAATTTTAAAGGTTTCAGACTATATGATAAATGTTTGAAACAATAATAATTATTCTAATAAAGAAAAGTATAAATGATTGGAGAACAATTATTCTTCATGTGAATTAAAAATAAATTTAATTGAAAACAAATATATTGCAAAAAATGAATACGTTTCTAATTTGTTTTCGTTATTATTATATTATAATTTCTGCTACATAGTACAGTTCTTAGACACAAAACATTTATAACACTAAAAACAAGGAAAATATATTTGCTGATACTATTGTAAAATTTGTTAGAACATTCTGTATATAGATTTATATTAAATGTGTTATGATATATTTTTATGATTCTGTTGTGTTTTTCAATAAAAGAAAATTGTAAAATATTTTTGTTTTATTACTTTAATGAAAATAAATAAAAAATTATTGATGATAATACCTTTATTAATTTTTGTGCGCAGTGAAGAATCAAAAACACATATTCAAGAAATTTTTTCACAAATTGAACAACTGAAAATAGAAGAAAAATTGTTGTTGTACCTGAAACTTCCATTATCATTGACCAATAGCGGGGCAACTGTTGATCCTTTAAGACAACCATTGAATCCGCTAGGAAACCGTTATGAAATTCATCAAACTATCATGTGGATTAAAACGCATTTGGAAGAAGATCCAGATGTTTCATTACCAAAACAAGAAGTTTACGAAGAATATAAGTAAGCATTTTGGATACAGTCTGTTTAAATAATCATTATGTGAATTCTTGATAAACTATGTAGTATCGATGTGTTATAATACAGTAAATTTTCCTTCAGGATTTATATACATCGTTAACAATAAATTATAGAAGGAATTATTTTTTTAAATTTGTTCAATTTACTTACAGTATGTATTGTACACGAAATTCTATGAAACCTTTATCAACTGCTGATTTTGGAAAAGTTATGAAACAAGTATATCCCAGAGTTCGACCACGCAGATTGGGCACCCGAGGCAATTCACGTTATTGTTATGCTGGAATGCGTAAAAGAGTGAAGTTGGATCCTCCAACATTGCCTGATATATCTGGCACTCAAATTGTGAGATATAAGACTATAATTAAAACATTTTAAATAACTCGTTTCTACAACATGTAAATTATTTTATGATTGAAAAAGATTTATTCAATTAATTCATATGTATATTTTATATTGAAATTGAAAGTAATTAAGTTTACAATATGTTTGAAAAATCATATAATTTGGAACACTTACCTTTATGGACGTTAATTACTTGCACTTTAAACCATTCAATTTTTTAGGGTGATGAAGTAGATGAAAATATTACTGAAGAAATGTTAGGAGCTGCTTCTACGCTGATCAGAGAATGGGCAGAAAACCTGTTGGGTTTAAAATTTCCAACTTTGAGTGCCTTAGCACGTCATCTCGTTGATAATCTTTGTGTTGATACTCGATCTCTTTCTGCTGTGTGTATATTATGTGGTTCAGGAAATTCTAATTCATCGACAAATAAAGGTTTGTTGATTTTCATGTACTTAATGTATATATATATATATATATATATATACACTACACATATATTTATATATAAATTAAAAACGATGTTTTCTGTACAGAATCGAGTACAGATTTGCATATAACACCCATAAGTGGGAAATCTGGAAAACTCAGAGAAGCACAATTACAATTGCAACGAAAATTACAGCAGCGAGAACATATAAGGGATCAAAAGCATCGTCATCTTGATACTATTATACAGGTAGAAAATTATGTTTCAAAAACATAATATATTTAAATAAACAAGGAATATTTTATTAATTATTAAAATGATTTTATATGTATTGATTATAAGTGTGATAATATTTCAGAATCAGAACAAAGAGAAGACTGTTGATAATAAAATGGGGGTATCTAAAGGAAATAAGAAACTAAAATTCATTCAGTCATCTCAAGGTACAAATCCATCAAGTGGGCAAAATGCATTAACTAAAATAAGTTTATCTGCTGTAGTAACAAATAGGCAGAAAAAAATTGTTAAAGCTAATAGTCAGCCATCTAACATCTCCTTGGAATCCAACTGTGATAATATAGTGGTACAATCGATCGAAGACATACAGAATAGCAGTCCTAGTATAACGACCAACTGTACGAATACACAGCGTGATATCAAATCCAAAAATTCCAGAAAGCGTGCCAATCCAGTTGTATTGAATCAATCATCAGAAACAAGCCCTGAAAAACAAACAAAACTTACAGAGCAGTTGATACAAGAGAATGTAGAGCATTCCAATATGTTGTTGCCTAAACTTACATCGATACAACGTCCTGGAAAAATATCGGTGATACTAGGTAGTAATTTGAAATCTACCAAGTGCAAAGGAAACGAGGCTGTCGACAATCAGCCTACTAAAAACTGTGATATCGAATCGTCAACATGTTCCAAAAGTTGCATTAAAGTAAACAATTATCCTAGCAATTTTGATCGTAGTTCAAACACAACCGAAGATTCTACAGTTTTAACGAAAGATCAGATTCGATTATTGCAAGAAAACGTTGATAAAACCGAGAAACTTGGCTCGATCGAATCGGATGCTTTGGACGATTATTTAAACGGAGGTAACAATTCCCAGGAGCAGGAAGAAGAATTATTACAGTATTTTCAACAAAGTAATTCATCGAGTTCTGATGTAGAAGCTAATGGTATCGCTATCGATGAACAAGTATCAAGATCTGATAAAGTTTCACAATTAAGATTAATTTTACAACAAAATTTAAAAGCAGGAACTGTACACGCATCCAGTGATGTATTACCTGCTGCTATTATTAGGCAAAACGTAGACAAACGTGAGATAACTCAAAAGCATAATTTAATATTACCAACATTGCTGAATCATTCGAATCAAAATAATACGAGGCGTAGGGTCAGTTTTGAAACGAACGTTGTAGAACATGTGCAAGATTCAAATGTCATTACTAATAGAGTTCCGCAAAGTCCAAACACTCGTCGTCGAATATTTAATTTCACACCAATATCGCCTGGTCCGCATTCACCCATTAATGGCCGCGCTTCTAAATCAAATTCAGCAAACGCCAGTCCGTTTGTTTCACCTCGGAATACACCAGTACCACGTTCCAGAAGTAATTTGCAAACGAGTAGTTTCAGAGTGCGTGCTCATAAATCGTTGTCGCGTTCGATATCCTGTAGTATGCCTTATACTAATAAAAACGATACCTTCGTTGTTCCCACCAGTGGTCCGGATATAATTAGGCAAACATCGTCTACGCCACAATTACCGTTGATTTCTACGAAATCGTCGGAAGTACAGGTTGATAGTGGTACCATGCAAATTTCTGTTATACCAAAAAAAGAAGGACAAGGATCACAGTGCGCTGCATTTTTATCTTCTGATCTAGCACCACAGAAACAATTACTTATTAACTATCCGAGTCAAGAAAATTTGCAGGAAATAAAAAATGTTTACCGGAAAAGCCAACCTGATCAAGAAATTAGCGAATTATTTCATAACAATAAACAGTTTTCCAATGAACTTTACAGATCACAATCAGTTCCATTACACAGGATGGTTAATCCTGCATTAATGTCACCTATCTCGACACAACACTGTTTACCTTCGTTTCAAAGTCACAGTTTTAATCCGTCTACAAGCAGTTCTGTAGCACCTACACCAGTACCTAGCGAGTTTAACGATTTCGGATCGATAGGTCAATCAGAAGGAACTTCAGCGTACTTACTCGACGATGTCGATCCAAATTTCATATCGGACGATCAACATTTCTTAATGAGTGATAAGGAAATTACATCTGAAAATATAACGAATATATTAAATATTTTGAACGTAGAAGGGACACAAAGTTTAGAGATTTTACCAGAGCAACCTACAGAGGAAAGCCTGATAGAAAATAATTCAATAGTGTTGGGTGCTCTACCAAATTCAAATCTAAGCCTGTCAGAAGAGGATATGCTGGATTCGTCGAATGTACTGAATGTTCCAGAAGGTGGAACCTTACAGAAAATAATACAGTCGCGTTCTTATCCTAATACACCGCTACCTGTGTCAGTGTGTGCATACGCACCATCTTATACTGAAGATAGTAATGGATCAAGATCATATCCTTCTACACCGTTGCATACAGTTCAGTCGCAAGAAACTTATCAGGAGACTAACGAACCGATACTTTCAAGTCCCACTTTGAACTCTTTAAACTTACACAATGAATCTGTAAATGAATCTACTTCTATCAGTTTGTGTAGGAACGTTGTGGATTTACTCGAAGCTAATTTTCTAGGAGAAACTGATACGGAAACGAACGATTTAGACCCACTTAGTAATTTTGATGGATTGCAAGATGTTGATTCATTGACACCTTTATTCAATGAAGTAACAGAGCCTAATCGTTGAAAGCATATATGCAAGAAAATTATTTCATGGATTTTCTGATTTTGCATAATGATCTACCAAAGGTTGGAAAAATAATTCTTAAATTATATGTTTGCATGATTTTATTCTATAGCGATAATACTATGCATAAGTATTCTATTTTAATATGTGACAGTATAAACAAATGTAAAATCTTAGTTCCTAGTGTTAACATCAGACGTTCGAAGTCACAGTGATCGAATAAAGATACATCAGTTTAAGCTTTTTTTTTCTTTTTTTCATAATATTTACTTCATATTTCAATAAAATTATGACAGTCGAATTTCTTTTTACTTTTTTGTATTTAAAATATAATTTGTATAAATTTTTGATTTTTTTATATATAATTTTCTAAAATACTGAAATCATTATTGCCTACATAATATATATCTATATATCTAAGATTTACACTAAATGTTCTTTTAATGTTTAATTGCAGTATCACGTTAATATAGAGTAATAACAAACAACTTGTGTTGAAAATTTTAAAAAATAAAAGAGAATATTAAAAAAATTAACTATTAAAATTAGAGATAACTTTGACACAGTTATAAATGTAATTTAATTCAATACATAAGGAGCTATAGTTAATTGTATTCTCTTTAGACTTGTATTATTATACTTATTTTTTAAAGTAAGTAAAAGAAAGAAAAAAGAAAAAACTGTGATTTCAAAATATAAATCTTATAATATTGCATATTTCTTGAATTTTCCACTAGAGAAACTAAATGGTGTAAATATCTCCAGAAGAGTATAAGGTGTCTTGAGTATCTTTGGTGGAGTATTAAGTTTACAATTGTAAAACACAATGAAGAAGTTGCTCAATACCGAGCGATCATCGCTGTGAAATATTTGAGATTCGAATATGTGAAAGTTGATTTTATATAAATACTTTATATTTGTCGTTTTGGAACGTTTGTTTCTGAGTCATTTCAATCCGCGTTATTGCGACTTTGTTATTCAAGCGTTTCTAAGAAATATTTACAATCACCTGCTGGACATTGGTGAACCTTTTATAGACTAATCGGTATTGAACCCAGTATAAGTACTTCATCTAACCTAAGTATGAATAGCAAGTAGTAAAATGGACACGAGCGCCCAAAGTAACCCGCGAGTACTCGGGATGTTCCTTGGACAATTTCGTGTGCATGCCTGATTTAACGGAAGAAACATGAAAAATCCTATATGCATACATTTTTATTTATTTCATTTATTTTACCTTGATTTATGAAACTTATTCCATTGATAAAACTTCATATTATGTGTATTAAAAGTATTTAAATTTTATAAATTCGGTATCTATGCTATCTTTTTCTATTATTTTAATATTTCTAATTTTATTACTTATGTCTGATAAATTAATAATTATCTTAAATTACTTTTAATCAATGTTCTGAATTGTTATATTAAGTCTAATTTCTAATTAAATGAATCTTTTAAAGATGGGACATGTAAGATTATATATTTAAGTACCGTACTGGATTCTGTATCGATAATAATGCTAACATAATTATTGCTATGGCGGGTGTTCTTAATATGTTGTGTTATTTGTAAAAAAAAGAGGATCTAAATTATTATAAATATATCGCTGATTTATATTTTTCTATGGCGCTCTTGATCATGAATTTTACAAATTGAATCTTTTTTAATCAATTTTTATTCCTATGCATCATGGTTACTTAGCTTTCAAAGCATAAAAGTTAGATGTTTATGATCTAAGAAAATCCCTATGGACGGATTCGTCGTTTTTATTTAATTAGTACATTCTGTCACTTAACAATTATTTTTTCATGCTAAGTTATAATGATGCGCTTAACTTAAAGTATTAGATTTTTAATAACATATGGGGTAATTTAGTCGTAACTGATTGCGAACGCACAACATTTGCAAGAATTTTACATTTATTATTTTATAAATGGATATATGGTATTACAAAATTAATATCGTATAAAGTATATAATATGATTTTTGTGGAATCTTATTTGAAAGTTACTATGAATATACACAAATAGCATGAACCAAATGCCGTATTGTTAATAATTAGGTAAGCGATTATATGACAATAAAAAAGAAATTAATATTTTATTTGACGTTTGCATCTGTATATTATCACAATTTCTATATGTACAGTACTGAACATGGCAGGCATCTCAATGGGAAGTGTCCCACTTCTTATTTTACTATTAACCCTTGGACGGTGGACCATGGAGATGGCCCCAATTTTCATTTAATTTTGTATTTTTATATTATTTTCATTTTTAAATTTTACATTCTTCCTCTGAAAATTATTCTTCCAGTATATGAAACACTCTCGTTTCAAAATTATACATTTAACTTTAGGTTAATGTCCTTGTATACATATATACATTTTGTAAGTTTGGGTCTCGATTGACCCAGGCTCCACTGTTCAAGGGTTAATATTTTTAGGACTATAAATTCAGCAACCTAAAATTTGGATTTAAGAAGTTTGAAACTATACATTTTAAAACTTAAAAATTTTAATTTTGAAACTGTAGAATAAAAATTTTAAAGCTTTGAAATTTAAGATTTGTGATTGGTAATTTCGAAAACTTTGAAACTTAAATTTCGAAGTTTTGAAATTTGAACTGTGTAATTATAGTTAACTAGTTAACTAGAAAAACAGTAAAATACGTTGTTTGGTTTGCGCTATTACCGTATAAGGTACTACATTGCTAATACTTATTTAATCGTCGTTTCACTGATTCCAACTGATTGTGAGTAATCATACGTGTGTATCTGAAGAATTTTTAATTCCGTAAATCTACATAACGTTAACTATATAATAAAATTTTAAATTTGTTATGTAAACATGTATCTTAACCTTTTGAAGTACATGAAAGTTAAATTTCCAACCATAATAATTTTTCGCCATATCATAATATTCCAAAACGAATAAAAATCGAATTGGTGACAGCTTCTTTCCCTTCTTTTGAAGATCGATAATATCAACCAAAAAATGTATCTTTATATTTGGATTTAATATCGTTAGAAAACAAAATTAAATGTACTTCAAAAGGTTAACAAGCATCTTTGGTAATCGCATCCAGTACCGGATTAAGGGTAGGTGTAAGGGAAGTTATAGCTCCGGGCCCCACTTTGCACGGAACCCCAATATACGTCTTCGATTAAATATTATTTACTTTTATTTAGAATAAATTCCAAATTTTTGAACCAGGCTAGCCAACCGAGAAGACCACGCTTAAAGGTTTGATAGCCCTCGGGCCTTAGAAATCTTAATCCGGTCCTGATCGTGTCATACATTTGTACAGTATAAGTAGCGAACAATCATTAATTCCGGATATAGCTGAAATACCGCCAACATATTATTTTTATGATATAATTTCAATGTATTTCAACTATTTTAAACTGTTAAAACAACTAATAAGATGATACTTTTATTATAAGACGAATTGTGAATTGTACAAATGGAAGACATTTAATGAACCAAGTAGTGATTAATTAATGGATGATACAGACAAAGAAAGGAATTTCCACGAGTCTTGGATGAAAAACGCTTTTAAAGAGATGAATTGAGCATGCATAGAAGGTTAAAAGAATAAAATAAATAATTTTCATTGATTTAACCAACAAAAATTTGTGCAATGGTGAAACTATTAAGACACATTTTGAAATATTATTGTATGTACAAAGATTTTTCTCGTTTAATTAAAAGTTTAAAAATATTCTTAATTAACATGTTCGATTTTCAAAAGAACTAGTACAAGAATTGTATATTTTTCTTCGTTGTTTAAAAAACAAATTATTCTTAGATGAATATGCATTAAATAATATTATATTATAAAATTACTAAACATTGCTCAGATTTATCTAAAAACATAAGAGTAAGTGAGGATTGTGAAATTTGATGTCGGTATCTAGACGTCTGTAATATAACAGCATTAATTCATAAAAAAGGAATGGAACAAACTATTACGAAACATATACATATACATGGATATTTATGAGAACACTTAATATGTATAGTTATACTTAAATAGGAAAGTAACAATAATTATGGTATTCTTACCTTTATAAAATAATGAATATTCGGACTATAATTTTAAAGGAAAATGAAAGTTACCGCGGGAGGTAAGATTGTTTTTAAATATGGTATAACAACACCGTACGATCTAACTTTACATTGTATTTCTTTCCTCCATCGCAAGTTCATTTGTCTGACTGAATGTTATTTATTTTCATTCATTTTTTCGGTTTATGCTACCATATCAACATACAAGGTATATAAAAAGGGTCGGAACACCTAAATATCTTAAAACGGTTAGGTTCTAAAAAAAAATTAAATACAAAAGTTGTAAAGTTCAGACAGAAATGCTTACTTGATGGCGATGGTGACGGTGACCTTTTTCTTGATCTTGATCTTTGATGAAATTTAGGGGTCGTTTCAAGGTCAAATCATTTTTTCGACTAAAACTATCATTCTACTGTTTGAACGTGATAACTTCTGTATTTTTTATTTTGTTCGACAACACATAACTATAGGATTTTTGTTGGAAAATAATTTTAACCTTGAAATGACTTCAGAATTTGATGTTAAAATCAAGGTCACCATCGACTGCCTCTGCAAATCTGAATTCTACAATTTTTACATTTAACGGTTTTTTCCCTCCTTTAAAACCTAATTTCTTTGAAATATCTTGGAAGACATGAACTTTTTCATACACCCTGTATATAATTTTGTAATACGAGAAAATGTTTCTTTGTACCAACAATTTTAATAGAAATACTGTTTTACATTTATCTGTTATTTATGTCGAGTTAAAATTTTACAAGAAAAGAAAATGGAGAATACATGGATTATTATTCAGATATTAATAATATTGCATGATGTAGAAGAATTTTGTAGGTCAGTAAAATATTATATACTGCAATTATATACAATAATTGTCACGATAAAAGTACATAGAGCAAAATAATTTTCATAGAACAAGATGCATCGATTATAAATCACGATAATGATCTTTCTGATTCAATGTATCATTAAAATGCTATTGATTTTAATTTTGGACGCATTTCTGCGTTATATCGTCTCAATTAAGATATTCGACGTGACAACTATAAAAACATTTGTCAGGGTTTTAATGAAATGTGTTGGTTTAATTGGTAATTACATTGTTATTATAAAAAGAAAACAAAAGGACTTGCCCTGCTTATTTTCTGTCAACTAACCGCAATATACGCTATCTTGCCACAATTAAATGGTCCATATTTTTATTTTTTGTCAAAGTGTTTTATATTACTTTAAACACATAGAAAAAGTGGACCTGGCGATATTATACGGTTGCTGCCGCAACAGAGGCTTGTCAATCTTCCAAGAATCACTTCTCGATTCTTCACCATCCCTTTGCTTCGTTAACAAACGCTAAAAGTTTACTCGTTTTATATAGATAATTGTCAATCGAACTATATCAAGCAATAGGAAAACGGTATTCCTTTCCATTGCGTGTGCTAGTATATTTGGCAATTACTTTGTTTTGTAAATAAATATTCTTTTTAATAAAACCAAAAAAAAAATTATTGCGGAAAAACATAACATAGCACCCACTTACTTCCTTGTGAGATTACAATTTTATTATTATTTTTTAAGATTTTCATTTTAACAATATAATAAATATTTTGTGTGAAATGGAATATTTTTTGTTTTATAAATGTAGAACTTCATAAGGTTTAGTGTTATTCGTTACTTTGTTATTATACCAACCCAAGAATTTAGACAAATTTTTATGTTTTACCAAAATATTTATACAATATCAATATATAATTAAAGATGAACTTGTAGAAAAGACGCTCTCCCTCCGATTTAAAATTTGACATCTTAAGCATTTTTTTGCCTCTAACGAATAGAGTTTAACGTTAGAGTTTAACGAATATGTCGGACTTGCTTATTGTTAGTTTTGGAGATATTTGCGAAAAACTGTAAGTACTACCACACTGAATTTAGCCTGTATGTACTTACCTACTTACGTACTTATACGTGCATACGTCCGTGACCGTATGTGCGCCAATAACGCGCCCTTGCTTATCTATTGTTTCTGTCAAGAGTACCACATGGCCCGGCTACCGTCCATGTAATGAAGCGAGTTTAAAAATCAAACTTAACTGATTTCAATAATTTTGAATTTCGACTTGCGTGGCCGTGAGGCCAGCAATATTAATTTAATCTAACCTATCCCAACTTAATCCACTGATTAGGTTATATATATTATAGGAATCTACATTTTCAGGAATCTTTTTCTCTTATCCGACTAGATTAGGTTAGGTTACGTTAAATTAATATACTGGCCGCCATTAGGCAAGTCAAAATTCAAAATGATTGAAATAAATCAAGTTTAATTTTTATGTTCACCCATTATGTGGATGGTTGTCAGGCCATGTGGTGCTGTTGACAGAAACAGTAGATAAGCAAGGATCGCTTGCGACGCACACACGACCACAGATGTATACGTACAGGCAACATTCAGTGTAGTAGTACTCACGGTTTTTCACGAATATCTTGGAAACTAAGTAAGTCCGACATATAGGTTAGAGGAAAAAATGTGCTTATAATGTTGAATTTTACAACATATTTAAAAATCATCGAAATTGGAGGAGGAGCACTTTTTTTACAAGTTCACCATTGAAACTTTAAGAGTTTCAAATGTCTGGCTACTAGATGCGACACGCTCCAAATTTTGAAGTTATAAATTCAATAGTTGTAGGAATTTTTGGTAATTTTCGATATCTCATCAACACCACCGATTTCGCTCATTTTTTAAAATGTTGTTGGGATGATGATTCTGAGCAACTTTCTCCCATGCATATAATCGCCGCCCGGCCTTAGTTTTCAAGATATCTGCAAAAGAATGTTGCTACTATTCCAGTAAATTCTGCGTATACCTACACGTCCGTGCCGGTGTGTGCATCAGTATGGGATGGCTGGTTTCTGTAAACACAGCATGGTGTCCGTCAAGCAGTATACATAACGGGTGGAACTTAAAAATCCAATATTAATTTAACCTAGTTTAATCTAGTACAAAATTAAATTAGTGAATTAGGTTAGATTAGGTCTCACCTGAGGCGGGTAGGGCGGCGGGCTGTGAAGATGTTACAAGCTAGGCCCGTCGCGTCGGCCCCAACAGAGATGAGGATAGGGGAGCGTTGGCTCCCCCGAAGAGGATTCCCGGGGTAGGCACCCGCCTCCCCCAGAAGAGGAGGACTGGGGAGGGGTACCCAACATCGATGTCTTTGGAAGATTTCCCGCACGTAAAAAAAAAGAAGTTAGGTTAGGTTAGATAGGAAGGATGGCCCGCAGACAGTCCCTCTGCGTACGGGCCCATAGTTTTGCTGGACGAGATAGGGAAGTTATTCGAAAGAATTATAGCTGACCGCCTCGCCCAGCACCTATCCCGGGAAGGCCCTGATTTGGCCGCGTCGCAGTACGGCTTCAGACGGGAGCGCAGCACGATAGATGCCAACAAATCGCTGCGTTCCCATTGCCACTCGGCCGTATCCCGGGGCAGTGTGGCGTTGAGCGTTTTGCTTGATATAGTAAATGCGTTCAACACCTTGTCCCATGTGACGAAAAGGGAGGCACTAGCCGACCATGATATGCCCCCCTACCTGAGGAGGATCGTAGGGCTCTACCTACGGGATAGGAGCATCGAGTTCTTGGGCCGGGCCGGAAGAATATTCCAAAGGGACGTTGAGGAGTACCCCAGGGGTCAGCTCTGGGCCTCCCTTTGTGGAATCTGGGGTACAACAAAGCTCTGCGGGTCAATGTTCCGATCGGGGTAAGCATCACGTATTTTGCGGATGATACGCACGTTCTTGCCATCGACCGGGACTTGAGCAGAACCAGCTGTCTCGCGGAGATTGGTGTTGTTATCGTACTGCGGCGAGTAGAGCGGAAAATGGCCATCAGGGTCATCAGAGGGTACCGTATGGTCTCTCACGCAGCGGCGATGACTCTGACGGGTACCGTACCGTTCAAGTACGAGGCAGAGGCTTGCGCCACAGTTTACTGGAGCTTGCGAAACAACGGCAGAGTGCCACCACTGTGAGGCGGGGGGGGGGGGGGGGGGGGGGGGGGGGGGGGGGGGGGGGGGGGCGCAGTACATCCTGCCAGACTGCCCTGTGTTTGCGTGGGCCCGTCACGCCCTCCAGTGCGAGATCGGCATTGACGTCTCGCCGGCGGCAGTTGTAAGAAACATCCTCGTCGGCGAGACGCAATGGAGGGCGGTGACCTCTTTTTGTGAGGAGGTCAGTAGTTGTTCTATGCGGGTTCTAAATCACTGGCGTCAGCATTTTTTTTGCTGACTCAGCAGTAATTTGACACCGTCAGCAGAAATACGATAATGATAGAGCAATTGCAACTCAAAAAGGACTTATCAACTGGTTTGAAAAATAGTTTAACAGCCAAGATAGCGAGATTTAAATCGATAAGAGCAGAGTTACACGGATCTGTAAAAGTAGGTGAAGGTTAAGGGAGAACAGATGCTGAATCACATGCATCATCATCATCTCTTATCTGGGAGGATGTAGAATCAGCTTTCCATAACCGGATAACTACAGGATTATAATCAACACCGAGCATATCGACCCACGAAACTTTTTGGAAGATGCTAGAAAAATAGTATTCCAACGTCTAGTGGAAGTTTTCCAAAATCATTCATGCATAAAAGTGATACGGTGTTATATTGGGAGTTTATCATTAATAATAAAAGTGATGTGAAAAGTTTCAGTGTGAGAAATAAACAATTATTTTCTACATCGAACTTGAACGATTGGTATGACAAATACGTTGTGAACTCAACTTTAACACTGATGGAAGAATTTCAGGAACGGGACAACGGTTGGGCGTTATCGAAAATTCTGCATTTGATGTTAAATATCAATAAATGTAATCCGATGCACGCTGGTTGTTACACCGACATACCAAAAACAACGAAGGACAAAACAGCGGTAGTACCATAAATGTGACAGTTGATGATGATACGTGTTTTGTCAGATCGATAGTTGCAGCATTATATCCCGTCCATGTGAATGCAAATCGACCATCATCGTATCCCAACTATGACACCGTTTTAAATTTGGAGGGCATCGCATTTCCATTAACTCTTAATCAAATACCAAAATTTGAGCGTCAAAACGATGTTTCGATAAACGTTTATTTCTGGGACTTGAATGTGAAAAGATGTGTTTCACTCCAACTCACCACCAGCAAAATATTTCGTCACGTTAACCTGCTGATGTTTGAAACGCCCAACCGTAATGTGCATCACTTTGCATGGATTAAAAATCTTTCCCGGCTTGTTTCAAGCCAGCTCAGTACACATAAGAGTAAAACTTATATTTGTGACAGGTTTGTATCACGCCATTACGATCTATTATAGTATACGTTTGTACTAATGCAGTTACTTTGTTTATATGCAGGTGCCTTCACTACTTTTATGCAGAAGAAAAGTTATTGAAACATACGAAGAACTGCATGAAGATGAACGACTGTGCAATCATTCTACGAGTGAGAATAAAATAATAAAGTTTGATAATTTTTGTCACCGAGAACATCATCCATTCATCGTGTACACTGATTTCGAATGCTTGCTTAAGAAGGTTAACAGTAACATCAATCAAGGACACTGCAATGCATACCAGCAGCACGAAGCATACTGTGTGGGATATTATTTTCACTGTTCGTACAATGCATCGGTGTGCGAGTATCGCGCGTATCAGGGCCCTGACTGTGCTGCATGGTTCGTGAATGAACTTGAGAACCTTGTAAGAAAAATTGCACCATTATTTAATACGATTGTGCCCATGATAAATTTTTTTTTGCGAGTTTAGAGTGGCATCAACACCAAAGGTTATTAGCGACTGTTGGCTCGATTTAGCAACTTATGGTGAGTGCTCGGTTGAAGATTTGTAGGGAAACAGGGAAGGAGAGGGGGCAGACACTTGTGGGGTCAGAGGGTGTGGTGGCACAATTTTCATAGGTTGTCGAGAATTCCGATAGTCTTGCAGAATGATAGCAGCGTGTCCTGGTACGCGGGTGAAGTAGTTGCCTCGGTTAGGTTGTCCATAATATTCACTTCTCTTCTTGCTTGATTATACTTTCAGCATTCGAGGATGATGTGGTTGATTGTTAAGGGTGTATTGCATATTTCGCACAGACTGGGGTGACTATTGTTAAGAAGGTGTGAGTGTGATAATTTGGAATGCCCGGTTCTGATACGAGTTATTGCCACTTGTTGTTTCCTATTGAAGTTTAGATTTGTTGTTAGATCATAAAAGTTGTCGATTGATTTATGGAGTGGACTTGCTTTGTAATTTCTCCATGTGCGGTTCCAAGGCTGCTTCCACAATGATTTGATGTGTTGGATAATGTCCACGGAAGTGTTAAGCAAGGATTGACTCTCCATATGTAGGGTGGATGCGATTTTCGCTTCGAGGTCGGCCATGACATTTCCGTGAATGTCTACATGGGAGAGGATCCATGCTACAATTATTGTTTTGCGAGCCTTGATCAGTCTATCGTAGATTTCTTGGATTACTATATACATTTCCATGGTTTGCTTCGTGTTTTGGATTTTTAGGATGGTGGACAGTGAGTCCGAGAAGATTATGAATTTGGAATATAGAGAGTTGTCGATGAAATTGAGTGCCAAGAGAAGTGCGTATGTTTCGGCTGTGAGGATGCTGTTGAAAGGATTCAAGCCGAGTTTAGTTGTCTCATTCTGGGTGACCATTGCAGCTCCTGTTCCGAATTTGTTTTTGGAGCCGTTGGTGTAGATGTGGATGAAATCGGGGTACTTGTCACAGAGGGTGTTAAACCGTCTTTTCCATTCCTCTGTAGTTAGCTCCTCTTTTTTGTTTCCTACAAGTGATAGGTCGAGGCCGAGTGCATTTAGTGTCCATGGGGGGGCGTTGTGGAACCTGGATTTTTCCATGTCTGGTAGACTGAATTCAAGTTCGCTTAGATAGCTTTTAATTCTTTGGCTGGAGGTGATTTTACCAGCTTGGTGTTCTGCTTGATGCCGGTTTCTTGAGAAAATGTCACCGTAAATGATCGGATTTGTAGATGTTGAGGCCCTTGCGGCATATTTTATACTTAGAAGTTTTCTTCTATGTTGCAACGATGTTTTGCCAGCTTCTATCATTATGCTTCCGATGGGGCTTGTATGAAATGATCCCGTTGCTATTCTTAATCCCATATTGTGGATTACATCGAGTTTTCTTAGTAGGTTCGGTTTAGCAGAGTCGTATATTACAGATGCATAGTCTATTTTGGACCGGACGATCGCTTTGTAAGCTTGTAAGAGGACGGTTTTATCTGCTCCCCAATTGTTGTGTGCCAAGGATTTAATTATCTTGATTCTCTGCTTGCAGTTATCAGCAAGGTTGTTGATGTGGTTGCTCCATGTGAGCTTGGAGTCGAAAAATACTCCTAATAGTTTTGTGCATGTGACAGATCGTAGTAAGTTCGTTCCAAGTTTCAACACAGGCATCTGGGCTTCGTGGTGGTTGGAAAACAAGATACATTCCGTCTTGGTGGCTGTGAATTTAAGACCGTTATTTTTAGACCAGTCGTGTAGTTTGTTAAGAGCCGATTGTATCGTATGTTGGGAGGTGTTGAGAGATTTCCCTTTACATATGATGGTGATATCATCCGCAAATATTCTTGTGATAACGGGGGGTTCAGTGATTCTGCAGGCATCGTTAATGACTATTAGAAATAGTGTGACGTTAACAAGGGACATTACCCAATCGACACACGCCGATTTTGATACCCTTTGAGTATGATATAGAATTCAAAAAAATATTTGACACGTATTTTTTTTTAATCGGCCATCGTCCATGCTGAAGGGGTGAAAATAGCCCCCAAAGTTAGGGTTGCTAAACATATTTTCTTGAATATCTCAGGAACTATTAGGTGTAGGCGAAAAATTCAAAATGGAATTTGTGTGTTTTTGAACAGCAAATTTTTCTATGTCGCCATCTTTTTAATAAATTTATTTGTTTAAAAAATATATTGAAAAATAATCTATTTTTGTCATTTTTTTTGGTAAAATGTTGATCTATTTTCATAAAAATTTGTACAAGTAAACTATACATCTTGACAAAGAATGCGAATAAATTGGAATTTTAAAGTTCACTGTCATAGTAGTTATTATTACGTTGCAAATTGTACTCACGTCTCGACTCTGCTGGCCCTCTATAGCGATGTCTACGTTTCATTTTGATATAAATTTGTGTAATATCATTCAATTAATTTACACTATGCTTTGTTAATCGCTTCATGAGTAGTGGAAAACGGCATGGCAAATAAAAGTACCGGCAATCGTAAAAGAGGTAAATACAACACAATATTCGGCAACTTCCACCGCGGATGCGGATTTAATAAAGTGATTTCTGTTATTATTGAGTGACTAATCTCGATTCTTTATTAAACCATCCGTTTTCCACAAGCTTCCTGCATATCCTTGTCAGGATAGTTCCGGCGAAATTTAAAATAGCGTTACGCTAACAAACAAGGTCTTAAGGGCTTTTTTCATTTCTTCTTTAGCCTGCTCGCATTCATTATTCCACCAAATCTGTCTCTTTCTGATTTTAGGTTCTTTATAAGATCCTGTCTCTCTGTTTTTTTCTTTATAGTGATCTTTGTTGTTATTATTACTTTTTTTATTATGGATTCATCTATTTGTTCCGTATCCGTCTCGGAAATTTCCTTATATGGTGTTACAAACCCTTCTCAAAAAATTTCCTTATATGGAATCGGATGTGTGCACCCGACACCAACCATCTTCTAGAAAAGTCAGGACCAACGCAAAGCAAAGGCGCGGTCCTACGGGTTACGTATATAATCTTTTACAGGTAATCTCTGCAACGAGGAAACTCTGCGAGATCGGGTACTCAAGTCCCTTTCAAGCACTCAGTAACTATACAGTACGTTGTCTGCTGTTAAGCATTATTCTAATCGTTGTAGTCCGCCTCCGTTTGCTTGCGTTCGTGAAAACCGAAAAGAATTAGATTCTTGCTTCGCGGAATCGAAACTAAACTTTATTTATTCAACTCATTTAAACTTGCAACCAAGAATTTAATTCATTGAACACCGCGACAATTACACACAACAATTGTAAGGTCCGGGAATAGAGAATAAACTCATATTATTTTAACTTACATACTATTGTTTAATTATATTTACTAGTCCAGAAACTCACTAAGGTGTACCTTTACCGCTCGAGGTACATCAATCAAGTTACGAGGCCTAATACTAACATTTTTTGCGGCTCCCTACGTTAGTCATACGTAGGTTCGTCCTCACGTCTTCCCCTTTCCTGTGGCTCCCTACGTTAGCCATACGTAGGTTCGTCCACTATAAGCAACCTCCTGGAGCTTCCTACGTTAGCCATACGTAGGTTCGTCTCCACGTCTACTTCCTTAGATTCCCAGTGTTAATAACAACACTGGTCAAGCCATTAACAAATACCATAACCGAGATTAAGCCCCGGCTACGCAGCCGCCCCCTCCGGCTCGTAACATATTCTTTGTGTGATATTTTGGATGAATAGGTTGTATTTATCATTTGTGTTTGCACAGGTGTTGATGTTTGTTGAGAGGTTATGTTCTGACCTTAATTGGTATGCCAAAAATTTATTCCATATAATTTTACTTGTTTGGTATTTCCTCGTTCCATTATGGTGTTCCAGTTCAGTTTTGGCCCATTTTTTATTAAGTGTTAGTGTCTGATCCCATAGTGTCGCCTTCTTCCGAAATCGTATTGTTGTTATTATGAGATCAATATTCGATGGATTGTATGGCCATGAGCTTGTTCTTGAGGTGGTCTCTGTGTTTAGGATTATTATACTGTTTTCCTCTACTGCCGGCTGAAGAGCTATACCTTCTGTTGTATCTGAAAGGCAGTACTATTCTTTGGACTGAGCATTGAAATCTCCCATAATTATGGTTGGTATATTGGTTCTGACATTCTGGAAAAGCTTTCGCCAGTCTGATAGGATAATTTTTGTAGTGGGGCTCTTGTATACTAATATTATGTCTGTTTCTTTACTGAGAGTATCATTTTGGATTGTTATAGCCAAAGTTTCGATGTGACTGTTTTTGGAAGACCAGTTACAGTTTCTTTTTTTTGCGTTTATATTTTTGTTAATTATAAGTGCCATTCCTCCTCCATTTGGGGTTTGCTTTTTGTCCTGCCTAAACCATTTGTAATTGGGGAGTCACGTCCCAAACTCCTCTTCAGTTTCCTTTAGCCATGTTTCAGTTATGCCAAAAATGTCATAGTCCATAAACCTAATTTGACTTGTGTAACGACCCAATGATAGGTACGTCACTGCACCGACGTATAGGGAGAGCGGTTCCCCAAGAAGGCGACTCGTATGAACGAAAATAGGGATTATAGGTTCGTGTGGTGTGCGGTTAAGGAGTGAAATCCAACATTAATGTATCAAACTAAAATTATTTTTATTCAAGTAAGTAAACTAACTATGCTTGTTCTGAGTATAATATAAAGTATAACAATAGGTACGGCTAGAATATGAAATACAATGAGAAATTATAATAGATACGCCCTAGATAGTGAAATACAGTAAAAAGTGTATGATTAGTAGTTAGTAATTAATAATAAGTAATAATAATAACGCGATTTAATCTTCGAATACAGACAACACTCTGTACAATTTGCCAAATTACACTAAGTACTGGAAACTATACTCCAGTGGCTTGTACGATACCTTCAGACACGAGCGGACTTTACCTACAGGTCGCAATCGGTTTCTGGTCTAGCCAGAGCTATGCTAATACAGGCCTGCTCAAGGAGCTCCGCTCCTCGCTAGCTCTTTACACTTGAGTATGTGTCTCAGTATTAGCACGTGTTCAACACGTTGCGTACCATGAGTAGGGTGTCTACAGATCCGAACTCTCGTACGTCACCACTGAAAGAGAAGGACAAAGCTAATCTCGCGCTCTATAGTTGCCTAAGCAATTCAGCGCAAGCTTTCCTCTACTTCCAGAGTGCTGTCTGTATTTGACCGAAGTCAGAGAAGATCTGCTCTGATACCGCGTGGAACGCCTCTATTTATAGTCAGATTCTGCTAACTTAGCGCTTTTTTTCATTATAGGGTTCCTCTAGATTTCTGGAATTCCCCATCACGTGACGGCCGAGCACCCCTGCTCCTTAATCTACGCGGTCACCCTACTCTAGGTTCTCACCCCATCGTGAGATCATCAGGGTTGCACTGGCGCACACGTGGTCGCTCGTTGATAATTTATCGATAATCTATTTTATCGGCCGACTTATTCTATTAGACTGAATTATTTCTTGAAGTTTGAAATGAAAATTATTTATTATTACAAAAATATATATAATACAAATTAAATTAAATATTTTTTATAAACTTAACTAAATATAATAAAAAACTTAAATTAACCATTTTATACAAAATTTGAACTAAAAATAAATTATAATAATAAAAAAGTGAAACGAAAAAGTGCTGGGTCTTCTTAGCGGGACGTTACACTTGGTTTCCTCTTATTATTGTTTATTTGTTGTTTTTGGTCTTGATTTAGTGTTCCAGTAGTTATTTATTCTTTTGTTGTCAGTGTACCAGTTTTCTTGATTTTCTGATTTGTTCCGGATTAAGAGCGTGACAATTTTAAATAGGCACAGTTTACGCCAAACGCCGAAAACACTTCGGCATTGTCATCGCGCAAGCGTTTATAAAAACCGCGACACGACGACGATACAGCCTACTCTTTCTCAATGCACGACGAAGGCAAGTTTTAGTTAAATTGGCGTACACGACAAATTCGCTCTCGATACTTCGATTGAAAGTCCTTCCTTCCTTTACTAACATTAATTGGCGTTTAGCCCAGAGGAAAAATTTATTCTCTGCGCGAAACATAATTCCTTGGTGGGGTTTTTTATGAGGTCCTTTTGAAGAGCTCGAGCCATGAGGCTAGTGGTCCATACCTTGCCTTCTTTGCTCTGCATATTTTTTATATTCAGAAGAGAGCTTACAACTCCTCCACTTGTGGACGGCTGTGGGTCCTTATTTGCAGTTGCTGTTCCTGGTCTGCTCTCTCTTATATCAGATATATGAGCAGCTGTCATATATTTCCTTTCTTCCTTCTATTTTTTCCTTCTCTATCTCTCCAATCTGTCCCTTCTTTGGATAGTAGCCCTCATTTTGTCTGTTATGTGGAAGTCGAAGTTTTCCCTGTACCTGGCCATCCAGTCCTCATCCTCCGGAGGTGGCTTGAAAACTCTTCTGTACTTTCTTTTCACTATGAAAGTTTCCATTTTTTCTTCCAGGTTTTTCTCCTGTATTAACTTGATCAACTCGTCCAGTAGCTCGTCCGCATTTCTCTTTCTCAATTGATCAATCAGTCTTCTGTTATTGTATCTTTCAAGGTAGCTTTGATTTTTGATATCTTTCTCTTCCTCGTATAGTGTGCCAAACTCATAAATCCTGTTACCTACTATTTCATTGTTGTGCGGGTCCATTCTTAGGATTGGAAATCTATTTGTGTTTCTCTCTGTAGGAAGTGGTTTGCCTTTACAGTATCCTGTTGGATTTTGATCATATTCTGTTTCTTGGTGTGGTCTGTAGCCTCCTTTTTTAACTATCCAGGGATTTGATCGCTCATTTTGGTTGTTGTTGTGGGGTATGTTCATACTTTCTCATCTATCTTTGTTGGGTTTAGCTTTTAGTCTTGGGAAATCTTTTTCCCACTTTTGTTCACCGTTTTCTAAATATGTTAAGGGTTGGTCGTTTCTGTTTTCTCTGTTCCATTGGCGTCTCGCAGTGTTATAGTTCATATTTTTATATGCCATCATTTTCTTTATCTGAGCCTCTCTTTGGTATATCGTGCACTCTTTTGCCATGGCGTGGTGTTCCCTACCGCAGTTAATACACCTTGTTTCATTTTCACATTCTCCATGATCTTTTTCTTTACAGTTTCTGCACTTCTTGTATTGATTTTTGCATATATTTTGAGCGTATCCAAATCTATAGCACTTATAGCACTGTTTAATGTATTCAATGAAAGATTCGACCCTCAGCCACACATGGCCATACCTATTAGCATGCGAGTTGGCAGGGAGTCGCCTTCGAAATTATCAGAATTGCCTTTTCTTCCGTCCATTGCGGCTTTCCGTCGATGAATCTGCTTTTCATTAAACGCTTCATTGTGTAGTTCCTCTGTCCTTCCATTGATTGCTCTTCCAGCTCTTTTATCGTGTCTTCCCACTCGTGTATCACACCCATCCTTACTAATTTTCTTGATGGCATGTAGGCTGTGTAGCCTTTCTCTCTCTTTGCATTCTTGAGCGGCATCTGGTTTACTGCTGTTCTATTGTTATTGTATTTTCCTTATTGGCTACTATCGTTATGGTATACTCATTGCTAATTAACCCCTTATCATAAAGTGTTATTTTTTTACCCACCTCAGGATTTCTGTTTGGGCTGTGTTCTCTTTTCTTTTCTTCCTTATTTATTTGCTTCGGCTTTTCCTCTTCTGGGTTGCCTTGGTTTTCTGCGTGTATCCTGTATAGAGTAGGTTGTTTTAAAGTCAGTGGGTTAGGGTTATTACTATTACTTATTGGATTGATATCTTTTTCCTTAGGGGTAACTAGTCGAATTTTGTTTGAACCTGTGAGGTTCTTATCAATTAGAATAACCGGTTTGCTTGTCTTTGTTATGTTTATTGTAATTTCTTTTTCAGGCGAGTACTGTACTGAATCAATCTTTCTCTTTTTTGTACTTACAAAGAGTTCCTTTTGTTTATTCAATTCTTCATTCGTTATTCTATAGTCTGCTCTGTAACACTCGCTTTTATCATTCACGTTTGACTCACTGCTTATCTTAGCTTTTTCAAAATGGCTAAGTTTCCTTGTTCCGAGTGGCGACACTTTTCCCCCTCTTCCATCAGCTTGTATCTCTTTTCCTCCTTGGAGGCTACTATTTTAGAGTTTTCCATGGAGCCCTCTATGTTGATCCTTATGTAACGTCCCAGACTAGGTGCGTCACTGCACCGACGAAAAGGGAGAGCGGTTCCCTCAGAAGACGACTCGTATATTGTAATAGGGATTATAGGCTCGTGTGATGTGCGGTTAAGGAGTGAAATCCAACGTTAATACCCTTTATATAATTAATTTATTAACGATTGAAAAGTTTGGTTAATTAAGAAGATATTAATTACTTAGTTTCGTTTACAATGATTCAGCCCTAAGGAGAAATGTAAAAGAAAACAAGATGATTAATATTACAATGACTCCGGGCTAAATGAAAAATACAAAAGAAAATATATTATTAGTTAACAATGGAATCCGCCCTAGATGAAAATATAGTAGAAAATGCTTGATTAGTATATATTAATACACAGCTTAGACTATAGGTATAGCTAACGCTCTGGATAATAACCAATTACTCTAGGTATCAGAAATTATCAAAGACAGTAAATTGTACTGAAAATAAAGATTTTATTTAGCGCGGGTTACTCTGACGCTACATCCTTGCCTAGGCAGTTCAGCGCTGAGCAACCTTAGCTTTTCCTCTATTGGTTGATACCTGCACTCGACCGAAGTCGAAGTCGATCTGAGCATGGTTGAAACCAGACTGTTTTTCTCCGCATGGCACGCCTCTATTTATAGTCAAATTCTGCTGACAAAGCGCTTTTGTTCTATATAAAATTCCTTCAGGAATCTCGCGGACTTTGGACTCTATGTACATACGTGACTCCCGCGAGTATCGCTATCTCTCTCACACAAGCTACCCTACTCTTAACGCGAGCGCGCACGCCATCTAATTCTATAAAGGTTTACTAAAATACAATAATTATCGACTAGACATTATTTAATTTAATATTACGATTTATTTTTAAACTATGTTACCGCTGGGACGTTACACTTATTGTTAGTAAGTTTTCCTGTTCGCAGACAAAATCCCTAGCTTCTCCGTTATTTTCCATCTTAGAATGGTTGTCTTTATTTAGTTTTTTAATGGTTTCCTCATCCTCTTCCAAATTCTCAACAGTATCCAAATTCCATGTTCTTAGTTTTGTTTCTTCTACCGATTTTTTTATCTTGGCATTCTCATAATTCATTGCTTCTTGTTTGGCATCCTCTTTTGCCAGAAAGTTTTTTCGCTTTAATTTGTATTTATTTTCTTTTCCCCCGCCATTTTGGCGGGAGTTTGGTTCCCCCTCCACCTCTTCACCTGATCTTTGGGCGTCCTCAATAAAGCCGAAAAACTTGTTCCCTCAAAAATAAGGGTAAATTTTTTGCTTACCTTATTACTCAAAGCCCTTTTAAGGTGATGCGAGCGTCAAGACCGAACTTCGAATTCCGCGTCGGTAAAACAGTCAACGTTTCATCGAAAATTAGACCGAACAGAAACTGATTTCAGCGCTACCTCAGTTATTGCATCCAACTAACGGCGTGCTATTCTACGTCACTCTTTGCATACACCTAAATGACACACGGATGCTACGATAGCTATATGTATCATGTACGATGAATCGGACCAATTTTTGCGTGTCGTCGAGAAACCACAGTTTCTCGAGCGAGTTCGGCTTGCCTTTGATGTGGTGACAGCCGAAAATCGAAGCAGCGTACAGGGAAAAAAGCAAGTTTAAATACCCGTGTACGTGTGAGACAATACTAACACAATCAAAATTTAAGATTAAAACCTTTTTATTTTTGAATTTTTTTAAATGACAATGTTACTAACGTATTTATGAGATTTTTCTGATTAAAACAAGATCAAACATGACATAATTTGAATTATAATTATTCATTTACTTATTTATATCTAAATAAGTAAAAATAATGCAAATTATATGGTGTTTGGTCTTATTTTAATCAGAAGAACCTTAAAATTACATTGGTGAAAGTTTCATTTAGCAAAAATGAAAAATAAAAAAGTTATTGCTGAATTAATATTGTTTCACTCAAATATTTTTTTTCAGGCCCTTTAATTCTCGGACCTCTTTCTCTTTTGCTATTTGTCCTTTTCTACGTACGCCAGCATTGAAGAACTCGCTCCAGTCGTGTTGTTCTTCTAGTATCACATTTTCGTTACCTATTCATCCAATATTTGGGCGTAACGCAAAACCAGGAGAGTCCAGCATAATATCATATTCTATGCTGAAAAAACATACTAACTTATCTGTCTAAAAAAATTTTAATAACTCTGGCAACAGATTTATTTTCGGGGTGCTTTTCATAAGTAATCAGTATTTCACCAAATTGTTCAGAATATCAATTTTTATAACATATCAAAAAATCATCGAAATCGGGAAGGACGTATTTGTTCTTCAGTTTCACTAAAAAAAAGAATAATAATAGCAACAAAAAATAATGATAGTACGTCTTGTGACACATGGGTTGAAAATCGCTATCCTAGTCGATAGAACGATGCGTGAAAAAAAAATGTACGCGTCGGAGTTCATCGCCTCTTCAAGACTCGAACTTCCCATTCTCCACGATACATTGTATCGTCGTCGACGCGCGACGGTTCGGTCGACGAACAGCTTTCGGACGTGCAAAAGCTATATTATCTGCGCTCGCGTTTCCGCGGCGAATCAAATCGAGTGATCTCGAATTTGCCGTTCATCAACTGTCCTTCTCGATTGCATGGGCAAATCTAAAGATGCGCTATGAGAACAAGTGCTTCTCGACAAACTGTTTGCAGCTTCACCACCATAACAGAAAGGTGCGACCTTGATTTACAGCATGGCCACCAAACGCATCAATTTCTCAAAACAGCGACGCAAGAAGAGCTTCCAACGGAAAGAACATCTCAACTCACACCTGACGATCACGAGTGTGAAGATCACTTTCGTGCAACGCACATTCGTGATTTTACAGGGCGATGCGTGGTGCGTATTCCTCTCAAATCATCTCCTAAAGTCTTGGGTAATTCTTACAGCACAGCTCGCTCCTGCCTGCGACGCCCGCTCAGCAAGCTCTCAAAAAATCATGAGTACCGTGAACAATACCCACGCTTCATGAAAGAATACGAGGACCTCGGTCACATGAAGAAGGCTTCTTCAATCTCGCCCAAAGACTCTTCAATTTACTATCTTCCACATCGTGGAGTTTTCAAGCCTGACAGCGAAACAACGAAGCTGCGGGTCGTCTTCAATGGCTCGAGTCCAATAACAATTGAATTCTCTGTCAACGACATCATGCACACTGGTGCAAATCTCTTGCTCAACATTACAGACGTTTTGCTGTGGATTTGGCATCACAGATGCATTTTCGCCACAGACATTACTAAAATATACCGTCAAGTTCGAGTCCATGAAAAAGACTGGAATCTCCAAAGGATGCTGTGGATTAATGAGGAATCAAAGGAAGTCCCATACACTCTCACAACGGTTACCTACGGTACCAAGGCTGCACCATTTCTTGCTGTCAGAGTCCTTCTGCAACTTGCAGAGGACGAGGGTCAACGTTATCCACTGGCAGTACCATCAATTAAATACGCCAGGTACGTCGATGCCATATTTGGTGGTGCAGATTCTCTCAACGTATTAATTGAAATTGCTTCACAATTAACTGACTCGTGCAACGCAGGTGGTTTCCATCTTGCAAAGTGGCACTCAAGTGAGGCCGCTTTACTCGAGGTAATTACGCCTTCCAATCAATCTAAGAGCACCTCAATCTCGCTAGACGACTGCAATATCAAAATCCTCGGATTACGTTGGAATACGGTTTACTTCCAAATCTCACAACAATCTCAATCTCACCAAACGCCTCGTGTTATCTGAAGTAGCACAGATATTTGATCCACTTGGCTTCTTATCGCCAGTCATAATTCGAACAAAGGTGCTCTTGCAAGAGTTATGGCTACACAATCTCAAATGGGATGATCCACTGCCATCCCAAGTCACATCTCGATGGAACGCGATCAGAGAAGATCTCACAAGTCTGGCCCGACTCTCGATACCTAGATGGTTCAACACCTACAGCAACGCTATAGTGGAATTACATGGCTTCTTTGGCGCATCTCAGCTCGCCATGGCGGCAGTAATATAAATTACTGTTTTCTCGCCGTCCACAGATCTCGAGATAACGTCAAGGTGACATTGTGCTCCAAGACAAAGGTAGCACCTCTCAAAAAACTAACAATTCCCCGACTCGAGCTCACAGCTGCTCTGATGCTGGCAAAACTAATGAAATACGTTCAAGCAAATCTCAAGCTCAACATTGCTACAACTCACCTGTGGACGGACTTTCAAGTGACATTTATATGGATCAAATCTCACGCATCGCGGCGAGAGGACTACGTCAGGAATCGTGTGACTCAAATTCAAGAAATCACGCAAACTGCACTTGCCTGCAGGAGTGTCGTCCAGGAATCTCGCACGTACTCACGTGTCAAAAACTCGAATATCATTGGGACTTGATTCATAAATATTCATTCTTGCACAAACTTCTTCACGTTACCTCAGTTTGTTTCAGGTTCATTTCCAAACTGGGAAAGGTAACTGCCTCAACACTGATCTCAGACTCACCAGCTGATTTGGAAAGGGCCTAGATTTTCTGGATCAAGGCCACTCAATCAGCCTACTTCTCACACGAGCTCAAGATCAAACACTGCCTTTATCTCCCGTCTTCAGTCGACTCACGGCCTTCATTGACGATGAGGGCGTTGTAATAAATAAAACTTCCGGCTCGTAGCCTAAACCAAAACTCTTTATTCATCAATCCGTGCTCGCGGCGTGCATACCATGCGACTGACTTCTCTCGGTCTGTCCCCCCCATGCCAGCGCCCCGATCGTCCTTTTGCCCGCCACATACGTCATACACTACATTCCCTTTCCTCCTTAATATTTTGCTTCTTTAAACATCTTATGGACTAAATGCAAATGAGTGGTAGTATAAATTGTAACATAACATCTTATAGACTAAATACAAACGAGTGATAATAATACATGATACATTGTTCTTAAATCTACCTAATCCTATGAACTCTATATTCGCCGTATCGCTCCGGTACCTTTCTATTTCGTTTCGGCCGTCCTGAGCTATTTACATCTATCTGTTCCTCCTCCTTATCGCCTTCGCTTTCCCTTGCAACGTCTATATCGCCTCCGTCCTCAGCTGTGTCTTGAGCTTCTTCTCCTACCTCATCTTCTTCATCGGAATCTACAATCTTTCTCACCTCTGTTAAATTTCTTTTGAACTCTTTCCCCTCTTTTGCTTTTACCGTTACTGTGTTTCCTGTTCGTTCCGCCACCGTGAATTCGTCTGCTCCGAAATTCGTACTCTCTTTAGCATGATGCACTTTGTCGTAATAATCTTTTCCTATCTGTTTCTTCCACGCATCTCGCTCTCTTACTTCTTCCTCTACGAATCTACTCCTACCTATCTCCGGTAATTTCGTTCTTATTTTCCTACGAAACATCAATTCCGCTGGTGAAACCGCTGTTACAGTATGTGGTGTTGACCGATACATTAACAAAAATTTTAACAATTCCTCGCGCCAGTTCTTTTTCTCCGCGTGCGCTATTTTCAGTCTTTTTAATATGCTCCTGTTCTGCCTCTCTACCTCGCCATTTGCCTGAGGCCAGTACGGAGCTGTGTGCGAAATCTTTACCCCATTTCCATTTAACTACTTTCGTAAATCTGCGTCGGTAAATTGGCGTCCATTGTCGCATATTACTATTTTCGGAAAACCGAACCGCGCAAACATCTCAAACAAGTGTTTCTTAATACTAATCGCACTCGTGTTTGTTAGGATCACGGTTTCGAAATACCTACTATAGTAATCCGTCACTACCAAAATGTTTTCCCCGCTGGGCAGTGGTCCCATCAGGTCCATTGCTAACGTTTCCCATGGGCCTTGTGGTAACGGATTTGGCTTCAAAGGTGGTGGTTCGACTGTTTTTTGTACCAATTGGCACCTCCTACACGATTTTACCGCTTTTTCCGCGTCTTTATCCATCCCTTCCCACCACACTTTATTCCGCAACCTATGTTTCATCGCTACGATACCCGGGTGACCCTCATGCGCCAAATCTAGCGTTCTCTTTTTTAAAACTTCCGGGATCACTATCCGCAAGCCCCTTAAAACAATGTTATCCTTAACACATAAATCATCCCTTAATATCCTAAATCGCGACTTTTCTAAGGGTCTTCAATCGCCTGTCTCGAGCGCTTTCCTCACGTCGGTTAGCACTTTATCTTTCCCGGATTCCCTGTTTATTTCTTCTGTAGTCATTGCACAGGGTGTTGTTTCTTCCACTACCCACGCGATATACTTCCTGTCTCTTTCACTTTCCGCTTTTCCTCCATTCCCGGCGCAAAGGCGTGATAACGCGTCTGCGATATTTGTCTTTCCTCTTTCGTAGACCACCCTATATTTAAACGACTGCAATCGTAATACCCATCGCTCGATTCTTGCGTTCGGTTTCGATTTCGGCGCGAATATGTATTCTAACGCTTTGTGGTCTGTCACCAACTCAAATTCTGTACCATACAGCCAGTTATAAAACCGCTCGCACGCATATACCAACGCTAACGCTTCTTTTTCCGTTTGCGAATATCGTCTTTCGCAGTCTGTCAAACTCCTGCTCGCGTAGCTTATTACTCGCCATTGTTGCCTATCATCTAATTGTGTCAATACACATCCTAAGCCTACTGGGCTTGCATCCGCTATTACTCTCGTTTTCGCGAGAACGCTAAATATACCGAGGGTTCCTGCATTAGTTAGTTTTGCTTTTAACAACTTAAATGCGTCCTCCTGCTCTATTCCCCATGTAAATGTAACGCTTTTCCTCGTCAACCGCCTCAGCGGTTCGCTTATCGTAGCTAAATCTGGAATGAAAGCCGCGCAAAAGTTTACAAGCCCCAGGAAACTGCGTACTTCTTCCGCGGTTTTCGGCGCGCGGAATTTATTTACGGCCTCTATTTTCGATTCCAATGACTTATACCCTTTTCCAGAAATTCGGAATCCCAAAAACACAATCTCGCTCTTTCCGAAAACGCATTTTTCCTTATTTAAAGTTAATCCCTTCCGCGCCAACGTTTCAAGAACCCGCGTCAGTCTCTTATCGTGCTCTTTTTTCGTTCTTCCGCACACCACAATATCGTCTATAAAATTCATCACCCCTTCACAACCTGCTAATACCGTCCGCATTATTCTTTGGAACATTTCCGGCGCACAACTTATACCAAACATTAACCTTTTATATCGAAATAACCCTGCTTCTGTTACAAAAGTCGTGATGTCTCTGCATTCCTCGTGTAGTTTGATCTGATGATACGCGGATTTTACATCCATTGTATTAAACCATTCGCATCCGCGTACGACGTCTAAAGCCGAGTATCCACCTGTATCAAACGCCCGTATCGTATCACCGTTCCGAACCCTTTTGAATAGGCAGACGTTGCCTCGTTGCATGCCAATATTTGCGGACAATATTTCTTCGTTTCTTGAAAGAAACTCCTATAGGCGAGAAGTTTCGATTTCCTGCATGCTGTTTCTTTATTGTAATTGTCCTAACCATATCGTGTTTGATATCATTTTAATCAGAAAAACGTCACAAATATCTTGGTAAAAGTTTTATAAGAAAAAAATGAAAAATAACAAAGTTCAGTCATTGCATTAGTATTATCTCACTGATATATCCGATTCCAGATCATATTATCTCGAGCCTCAAGTGTCATGTTTCCACTTGACATAGCATTTCGGGCCTTCGCCTGGGTATGTTGTTTTTACGTTTCAAGTGGTCTCCGAACCTATCCTTTGAACAGCAAGAAACCGACAATTTTCGGATCGGCCCGTTCCTTCACCTCCGTATCACAGCCCAATAGAACTTTCGATACTCGGCAACGGAAAAATCTCTGGAAAATTAACATTGTCCTTTTTCAATAATCACAGAGGTTCTTATTAACATTGCTCTTTTATGTACAGCGTATCACCGAAGATAATTGATCTGTTTAAATATATTTAAACGATAAAATTTGTCTAAATTAAATTAGATTAAGTTCATAAATAATTTCATCGATTTTGAAATGAATCCAATAATACCGCAAGATTTCAAATAAATTGAAACCCAAGTGACGGCACGAAACGCTATGTCAAGTGCAAATGCATAAACCTTTCCTTCGATGCAACGGCAAAGAATCGACAAATTTTTCGGATGGGTCCGTTGCCTCCGTTCCTTTGGAACGGCACGCAGCAAAACGAAACTCCTCGCCTGTAGTGGCCCAGTCCTATTGCCGAACCGTTTCTATCAAGAAACGAAGAAATATTGTCCAAGCCGTAGCACGCCGTGGCATGCAATGAGGCAACGTCTGCCTATTCAAAAGGGTTCGGAACGGTGATACGATACGGGCGTTGGATACAGGTGGATACTCGGCTTAAGATTTCCTCTATTACCGGCAGGGGATACCTCTCCCTCAAAATCGCTTCGTTTGCTCGGCGCATGTCAACGCATAGTCTAACCTCACCGTTTTTCTTTACTATTGGGATTACCGGCGAAACCCATTCTGTCGGGCCTTCGACCGTCTCAGTAATATCTAAATCTAATAGCTCTTTTAATTGCTTGTTAATTTGATCACGTAATTTAAACGGTAATCTTCGCACCGGCTGTGCAACTGGTGGATGCGACCTATCAATGGGTATCGTTAATTTGAAATCTTTCAGTTTACCTATCCCGCGGAAAATATCACTATCTTCCCGCTTTATGTCTATTTCGTTCACCTGTAACCCTATTCTTAGAATTTCCAGCTCTTTCGCCGTTTTATAGCCTAAAATCGGTCGCCCCTTACCCTTTAAAACTACGAAACTCGCTCGCACTTTCCTATTCTCAACCTCAACATCGCACCGAAATTGTCCCAATAGCTCGAGCGCGGTGTCGTGTCCGTACGGGTATATGCATTTGTCTACGTACCTGCTCGTCTCACAGACGATTTTCCTGTCTTTGCACCACTTCCATGTGTTTTCATCGACCACGTTACACTGCGCCCCTGAATCAATTAACATATTTAAAATAATACCGCCTATCTTAACGTCCATACTTTGTCCTTCTTGCATTGCACTGATTTGGCAATCCGTCTGTAAACCAAATGCATATCTCGATTGTCCCGCGCCGACCTCTCCATCCAGCTCCCTGACCCTCACTCTGCGTGGTGGTTCTCGTCTTCCTCCGTTGTTCGATGTCATCTGCGATTTGCACACCGTCGCAAAATGACCCCTTTTTCCACATTTACTGCACGTTCTCGATTTTGCCGGGCACCTTTCATCCTTGTACGTATGTCCTGTGTATCCACACCGAAAACATTGAATGTCTTTTTTCTTCTCTGTCACCTTCTCGGGCTTTCTCTCTTTCTTCACGTTGCGCGTCGCAGCGACCGTTGACTTTTCTATGTCTTTTGTTTGTAGCTCGATCGCCTCGATCGTTCTAGCAACTTCTATGACGTCACTCAACTTGAAATCTCCCTTTTCCAGGAGGCGCCGTCGAATTTCGTTCGACGTACATTTTTCCACAATTTGCCCACAAATTTCTATTTCCTCCGCTGGGAACTCGCAATTCTTCGCTTGCTGTCTTAGCCTCGTGATGTACTGGTTCATGGTCTCACCTTCCTTTTGTTTTAACTGACGAAACACGTGCCTCTCATACGCCATGTTTAATTTCGGCTTGAAATGCGTCGTCAGAGCGTCCATTGCTTTTTCGTACGCGTTTTCTCCTTCCGCGACCATATCTGCGTTTGGCAGTGTATAGAAAACGTCCTGCAATTCGAGACCGCCATGGTGCAATAACATTGCTTTTTTTCTGTTAATGTCCGTAACGTTTTTACTCGCCACAAATAATTCGAAGGCTCTGAGCCACCGCTTCCATGCTGCGTATACGTTTCCGTCGTTTTCGTTCGGGTTAAACGTGGGTAAACTTTCACTACTCATCGTGCACTTCACACTTTTAATCCTCGTCGCCAAATGTAATAAATAAAACTCCCGGCTCGTAGCCTAAACCAAAACGCTTTATTCATCAATCCGTACTCGCGGCGTGCATACCAGGCGACTGACTTCTCTCGGTCTGTCCCCCCCATGCCAGCGCCCCGATCGTCCTTTTGCCCGCCACATACGTCATACACTACAGGCGTCATTCGTGTTGGAGGAAGACTTTACAACGCACCGTTGACCTACCAAGGTAAACACCCAGCCATCCTTCCACGTCATTCACGTCTGTCTGAATTGATTATAGATCACTCGCATAAAGCAACGCTTCATGGAAGTACTCAGCTCACACTCGCTCACATCAGATAGACCTACTGGATCATCGGTGGACGAGCTCCAGTTAAATCGCACATCCTGCGGTGTGTTGTGTGTGCTCGGCAGAAGGGGAACTGTGCCCATCAACTGATGGGCCAACTACCTCTCTCTCGAGTTACACCCTCACATCCATTCTCTCACACCAGCGTAGACTACGCCGGTCTCATCACACTCAAAACGTGGAAGGGGCGAGGTGCGAAAACACAGTAAGGCTGGATCTGTGTTTTCGTGTGCATGACAACGTATACTGTTCGTCTCGAATTGGTCACCGACTACTCAACAGATGGCTTCATTGCAATGTACCGACGGTTCGCAGCAAGAAGAGACATTCCACATACAATCTACTCCGACTGTGGAACGAACTTCATCGGAGCAGATTCAACACTCAAATCGATGTTCGTCGAGGGCTCTCAAGATAATCAACGATTGGCCAAGCTGTTCGTCAACGACAATACAGCTTGGAGTTTCAATCCTTCCGCTGCTCCGCACATGGGAAGAAAGTGGGAGGCAGTGGTCAAATCCGTCAAATACCATTTACGACGTACGGTGACTGATACTTTGCTCACCTTTGAAGAATACAACACCCTTCTGAATCAGATTGATGCAACGCTCAATTCTTGACCACTGGAGCCTCTCACCGACAACCCTGACGATCTCTCCGTACTCACGCCTGCTCACTTCCTCATTGGAAGAGCAATTTCAAAACTGCCAGAACCATCTGTTGAACAAATTCAACTCTCACCTAGAGCACGGTGGCATCTCATCCAGCAGAAGCTACTACAATTCTGGAAGCGCTGGTCAACACACCATCTCCAACGGATGCAATCAATCTCGAAGTGGCATCACCCGTCCAACAACATCACGATTTCTCTGGTGCTGCTCACCGACGAATACTTCCCACCATGCAAATGGCCTCTTGCTCGAGTGCTCGTTGTTCACCCTGGATCAGATGGACTGACGAGGGTCGTCACAATCAAGATGGCCACCACAACTCTAACTCGGCCAATTGCGAAGTTGGCTCTACTCCCTGTTGCAGATACGATCTCATCACCATCTTCTACGAGCTGCTGATGGCGAGCGGAATGTTCAAAAATGCACTAATTTCAACCGTCGCCACGCGGACCGTGGCAGCACGCTCCAGCGCGCACTACGTCAGCATGAAGACGCCAACGGCTCGTGCTGCGAAGAAGCTGGTAGAGCGGCCATTATCGTTATACATAGCTTAGAGCTCACACGTGTATCTCGCTGTTTAACCTTTGTAAAATATTTGCTCAATTTCGCTGAATTCGACTCGATTAATCGCGTAGTACATTGCCGACGGGTTACATAATCGCGTGAGTTCATCAACTCGCCAAAACCCACGAAATTAATAGAATTTCGTGGTGGCCACGTTGTCAACGGCCTTAGCCACTTAGGCCATAGCGGTACCCGTAAGATCACCGAAGTCAAGCTAAGTGGGCACGGTTTTGCCAATAGATGGGTTAGCGTGTGCTGTTGACAACGATACATACACGTATTGTCCGTTCACGACAAGTTGGCGAGTCAAGGTCATGCTCTCACTCTATTCCACCTCTCTAGCTACCACACGCACGTTCCTTATTGGTTGAGGCCGGTGACAAAGGTTGACGACGAACATATCGGGACAGAGTGAAATAGAATTGTTTCACAGCATTGGTGTAACCTCCCAATTAAAGTGTCAGCTATAAAAAGATACAATTTCTTACTTCCTATCTATTGCCGCTAGAGCTCAGCAATTGGGAGGCTACGTCAATGCTGTAAAGTTATCATTCTATTTCACTTTGTCCCGATATGCTCGTCGTCGTCCTTTGTCACTGGCCGCAGTCAATAACGACATAGCGCACGGGAGCAGGAGAGGTGGAACAGAGTGAGAAAGTAAATAATCTGCCTCGTCAACTTGTCGTGAACGGACAATACACACACACGCACATATACACGGACACGCACACAGGGACTAAAAGTATGGAGTATAGAAAAGTAAAAGTATGGAGTGATAAACTCACGGAATTAAAAGTACGGAAAATGTAAGACAAAGCAAAAATTCAAACAATGCGCGAGGTTTGGGGTTGGCAGTGCTGCCAACCCATCCCCATAGGCGCGTGGACGATAGGGTTCGTTGGGCAACAAGGGGGCAGAAAAGCCCCCAAAAAGCGCCTCGGCCCTGTAGGGTAAAATTAGTGATAGTGGTGGCCACATGTTGTGCCAACACGTGGTTTTTCTACACAGCGATAGAAATTGCTCTTTTCGTCTTTGTGAATCACAACTCATGAACAATTCTGTACATAGTGACTGTAAATAGTGTAATTTGTGTTGTACATATACTGTTTGTGCCCTAAAGTGTCGACATTTCTTCCTCTCACTGCCATATTAAATAACGAACCTTTTATTCTCTCGATCTCGATTTCAATCTCGAACAGATGTACATGTACGTATAATTATTATTGATGTATTTAAGTTAGGTTAGGCCATATATTTAAATCCGGCCGCCGTAGGGCGCCTGGTAACGTTTTCATTTACGCATACTTTTATAATTAATTTATTATTTCATGAAAACGTTGCCGGATAGTGCGGATTATGTGTTCGAAACAGATCGCCAATTATACTGCGCTGTGTTGGTAAGGTAGGGAAAGATATCAACGATAATGTAGAAATTAATATTTGTTTACATAACAGCCAAAATAATAGGTTTACGTAAAAAATGTGTAACCCTTTTTGTAGAGCTTTTTATGAGCTTCATTTTTTGTTTGAAACTTTTTTCTCTAGAAGCAATATTTTCGGAGATATTTAGTAAGAACCGTCAAAACTTTGAAGGGGGCTGGGGGGCAAACGAGGCTTTGTCGCCAAAAATCCTTTTAGGGACTTTGTTCTTTAATCAATGATAAGCTTTGGCAAAAATTTCAGAAAAATCGAAGGGTTGTCGCTTTCGGAACTTTATCCGGTCCCAATTGAAATGCACTAACCGAGATTTTCCTGTATGTATTTTTTTTATGCTGCTGGTGGCTGTGAATAAAAAGAGTATTTTACAGGAAATAATAGGTAACTGAGGTGTTTCGTTACAATTTTCAGCGATGTTGTCACTGTTGATATACGCGCAAGAATTAGTACGATCTTGCATCAATAAAACATTTTCAATCAAAGAAAATGCCAAGGGTGAAATAGTTTATTAGTCATACTTCCTGGACCCAAAAGGCATTGGTAAAAAAACTAATTTTAGGCATTCGATTTGTAGGAATTCGGAGTACAATATCGGGACAGATTATTTAAAAAAAAAATAACTTTAAACATTCCATTTGTAGGAATATTCTTCCCTTGGTTATGTTATATTACAAAAAATGTATATATAACATTTGCCTGAAAGAGTTAGGTCATTCATATGGTCATGTGTACAGTATCGTATTTTATACAGGGTGTCCAACGACTATGTCGACAACCGGGATGACTGACAAGGTGATTCTAAACAACTTTTTTCTTTGCCAAAATGTTGATTAAGGCTTCGTTTTCGAGTTATTAACAAAAAACACTGGCCAATCAGAGCGCGTCTTTAGCGCGGACCGAACCAAGAGAGCACGACCACGGCTTGAACGCGGAGCAAATCTAACACTCTCGGTCCGCGCTAAAGGCGCGTTCTGATTGACCAGTGTTTTTTGGTAATAACTCGCAAACGAAGCCTTAATCGACATTTTGGCAAAGGAAAAAGTTGTTTAGAATCACCTTGTCAATCATCCCTATTCGGTTGTTGACGTAGTCGTTGGACACCCTGTATTTTGTCTGTAACGTACTGTGCACCGATGAACAGAATTCTCATGAGAAGGCCGCAAATCTGATTGGTCAGAATGGAAGGGAGACACCTCATTTCACACTCATTTTCGGTTCTAGCGAGTTATTGGCAAAAACGATCACGCACATTAATTCAGACCGTGTAACAAAGAAAGTCTATGAGGCGTATCGAGACTGAGTGAGATAGTGCGAGGTGAGCATTGGCGTAAACATTCAGTGGATCCGAAAAGTAGTGGCATATGCTTTAAAACAGAATAATTTTTTCGAAATTGAACTAAACCACTTGAGTTTTTTTTTAAAGTACGAAATGATATATTAAATATATTAAATAAAGTACGAAATGATTAACGGTAGGTCAGAAAATCCGAACCTCGTAAATACAGAAATCCTACGTCTATGTAGCGTGCGATGTTAAAAACCCAAACGTTGGCGTTACGAAAGCGTCAAATGGTGGGGAACTGGCGGAGCAAACGAGGGTGCCCCCTTGCCCCTGTGCCGTCCCGCGAGACTTCTGTTCATCGGTGGACAGTATATAATATAGCTATCGTAGCATCCGTGTGTCATTTAGGTGTATGCGAAAAGTGACGTAGCATAGCATGCCATTAGTTGGATGCGATAGCTGAGGAGGCGCTTAAGGGGGTAGACACGGGTAATGCAGCGAGGTGACATTACCGGCAAAAATGGGCCTATTAAGGGGTTCACGGGAATCGGTTATTTGTTCTTATATGAGAAGATTTGGGCCTGCGTGAGGGCTCAATCGAAAGAGGAAGGTTCAATGCAGGGGGCTCAGGTCATGGTTCAACGAGATTATGTTGATATCTAATAATATGAGTGTCCAAAGTAGAGGAAAAGTTGAGAAAATACACCCGCAGAATCCAAGTACATTTTAGGTCACTAAAAGAGTTTTGTGACTCAAACGATGACCTGAGCCCCCTGCATTCAACCTTCCTTTTTCTATTGAGCCCACACCCAGGCCCAAATCTTCTCATATAAGAACGAATAACCGATTCCCGTGATTGCATTCCCACAGATGAGTTCCGCCATTATCTGGATAATACAGAGCAAGTCACGTGTCAAATTTAGTTCAGCTAGAGGTTAGGAGATGGCGCCTACTCAGGAGGACTTATGGGGTCTTATCCCATATCAAATTGAATGATTTGTGTTTAAATTGTAATAATATATTTGAAATTGATAATATAAAGGTTTACACGTCTTTTAGCTTTGAAGGTTCTTGGAGGAATGAATATTCATAAAAGTAATTCCAATTTGTTTTAAATATAACAAATGAACAATAAATATAGTTTGAAAAAGCTGGCGGTGAGAATAATCTTGACAGCGCAATCTTCCTTGTGGCGGCTGGCGTCGATGTCGATAAGGAAGATTGCGAACGAGGAAGACTGCCAACGTGGAATTATAGGACAACCGAAGCGTTAACTTGATACATATGTCACAATAAAAACGTGATGCAGGCAATGTATCAATTTTCGTACGATTGTAGGTTAGGTTAGGTTATGTACATTTTAGGCATACATTGATTAGGATCTGCTAAGAATTGTATATATTTACTAAAGTAACACTTTTACTATAACACATACATCAATTGAAATTATTTTTACTAATCTGGTAGTATGGATTTATTACTATCATATTTTAAAATGTGGAATGTTGAAGGGTGGGTTGAAGAAATATAAAAAAAACATCTTGTTTTTTATATTCTCATTTAATGTTTTATATTGAGATTTAATTTTTTATAATAAACAAATTTGAGGGTTTGCCCCCGCCTCTTCCCCCTCTTCCTCCTCTTCCTCCTCTTCTCCCTCTTCCTCCATACATCGTCTCCCGAAATTTTTGTTTCAAGTTCTTCGTCTGTAATATGAAAAATAAACAATTCATAAGTTTGATTGAAACAGTATACTCATGCAAATGCTGACCAAGCCGCATGAAGCCTCGTACTATTCGAATACTTGAAATATAGGAATTGGTCCTTAGTTAAAGAAAATATACGATAAAAATTTTGAAATATTCCTTTCATACGTATATTGATACGTATGTCAATATGTATATTGATTGCACTTTCTTCTGCTTTTTCATATCTCCGTATATGTGACGATAAACCCGCAGTATTTTATCTAAGTCTCTGTTAACTTGCATGCTTCGATCTATGTCATGATCGAAAAAAGCCTCGCAATCCTTGCATTAACTAAATTTTTGTTCGCATTAAATGCGACCTGGTACCATTTTAAAATTCGCACTAAATCGAATATCGGACTATGTGAACTAGCATTAATCGAGACTTACCTGTATACTGGTTTTCGGTCGATGCGATATGTGTACAGAAACAGTAGAGAATATGCGACTGCATGCTGACCCATACACCGCCAGAGTAAGCGGTAGAATACACGTAGGCATACGTAGAATTCAATGTAGTAATAATAATAGTTTTTCACGAATATCTCGGAAACTGGTTAGATTGCAGTTTCCCGGGTAATTGATCTCGACTATTTTATCGGATAAATCAAGGTCGGAAAAGACGATAGGAAGTGTCCCGAGGTCGATATCACGTGGCGTTACAAAGTTATTTCCATCGGACTGGTGGAAAAATACGGACATGTAACGGTGGCTAGACATCACCGTCGCCATGTTATCGGAATCATCATCGTTCGATGGCGGCTAGACATCACCATCGACCCGACGGCATGAAATAC